TAATTCCGAAGAAAGTTATGGCGCTGCATAATTTGCGATAATCCGGAATCGCGAAATTTCTGGAATTTCGCGCAATTCCCGTTCTGTGAGTGGTATTGTACATTGCACAGCACGCGCGGCATTCCGCGATATGTGCTTCTCATGCGATTTCCGACCATTTCCCTTTGTCTTCCTGCATTTTGGGACCCGTCATACTTCGCCGAGAAAAGCCCACTTTCACACATATCCATGCAGAATGAGCTGCCCAGTTTCACATATATCCATGCAGAATGAGCTCTTAAACTATACCTGCCCTATTTCTGCTGTGCTCAATAGAATGTGTACGTATCCTCTGGAATAAGCACACTGAATGGTCCATTTACACTAAAATTCCAGGAAAGAAACTTATATCCCACAACTAGGCACATCCGTATACTGGAAGATGCGCCTCGCCGAGCTGAGTTGAATGGTACTCTTATATATAGAATTCATAAATTTTGAATCAAGATAAGGTCTTTTTTTATAAAAAGTTAGGCGTTGCGCGACAAAGTTAGGTGACTTTGGCCGCTTTTTCCGCCGACTTTTGCCGCGCGACGCGGCAAAAGTCACCTAACTTCGGCGGCGCCGCGTAAGTTAAGTGCCGCCGCCATTTTTTTTCACAAATTACGGGTGGTATTGTACTTTATTTAGGTGAAAAGTGCGGTAGAATCCTTATGTTTTTGTATAGGTTTGCTAACATGGGAGGAGCCTATGATAGAGGCACAGTCTGCAAAGAATGCATTTTCAATCACCTCTTTTCCTTTACTATTTTTTAAATAATTTCGCAGCAAGTATATGTTCGCATTTATTTGTTTGCTTATAGTTTATTTAAACATATGGAAATGGTGCGGCAATCACAGAGGATGGAGATCTGGTTTTGCACAGAATTACATGTTTTGCATTTCTAGAGCTGCAAATCAATCTTTGGTTCGTAGTTGGGCCTTATAATGCTTGCCGTTCTAGGCTAATGCGCGTAGCGCTCCAAACTGTGAGGTAGGGAAGATTTTGGCATTGCTAGGACCAAAGCAACTGATTTTGAAACAATTAAAATGCATTGTATTCACGAAGACTACCAATTTCTGGAAAATGATCGACGCGAGGAAAATCAAACAGAATGCATCGAAGCTTGATTTATGGGTAGATGTAGAATTTTTGATGTTAAATGTTTGCTTTGATGCCATTCTGCTGTAACCATAACAGTTAAACTCGTCGAAATTCTCTCTTCATCTGTTAATGCATCTGACTGCGGAACGCTGACTGATAGAATGCACGATGCGGACGCTATTGAATAAATTGCACTTTTTCAGCAGGAATGGATTTGCTCGATTGCTTATATCAGTCAATTGTTTTTTAAATCATTTCCACGGGGGAGTTGCTCTGTAAATTCGTTCCTATTCGAAATGTTTGATATATTGAAGGAAATACAACTATGAGAGCAAAATACTCGTTCATGTTAAGTACAAGCTGGAAAAAGTGCAACCTTTCACTTTTTAGTGTTCTCAGCTTTCTCTTTTCTCCCCTCTCCTCTCTCCTCGCATTCCCCGATGCTCGAATTTTAGTTTGCTTTTCTCGCAAGGATGCTCGGTGTGCTGGGGTTTACTATTGACCCTAAACGGGCGTAAGAAGAAAAAAACAAGGACGCTCACCCAATTATTTCCATCTCGCCTTCTCAGCCACTTTTCCTTTGATAGCCCATTACCGTTGTGGAGTCATGTGCCAACTTCCCTGCGTAGTTCGTACACGTCAAAAACATCGCTTCGGTTTCGATTTTTGGATTCTTGGAAATGAATTATTGTGTACGTAGAATTGAGTATTCGAAATGGAAGTTTGATTTGTTCTCTTCTGGAACGCAGAGAATGCTTTCGCCTTCAGCGAATATGAATGTGTGGTCTCATTGTTAGTCGTACAAACTGTACACGCCTCTACCGTTACTAATTGTAAGTGTACCAGCATGCATTACTGCAGGAATTTTTGTAACAGTTCTATGCCATGATAACTTTTCTTGTAATAGGGTTATGTCGATCATAGGGTTTGAAACGTAACATTGTTGTCCGCAATCATGACTTTCCTCGCATGGTATTTTTCAAGACAAAAATCACATGCGCTCTAAGGTCTCAAAGTCATTCGCATTTTCATCGGTGTGACTGGAACAAGCGGAAAATGTTTGAAGATTTCACTTAACATCTATTATGAAAATTATTCTCGCTTGCATTTATGTTGCTCTAGCTAGTATAGTCAATCTAGAAAAATCAGCTGAGACCCCGGGTCTTGAATTGGTCATTCCACTGATGGTAAGATTTCTGAACAGCTTAGGTTTTTCTGATTGGTTTCTTTAGCAGCGTCCAAGACTGGTACTGATACATATTTATCTTCGGCAAACTCGCCTTCTTCAGGGTCTGAAAAGTCGAAAACACATAAGTGAACTATCCGATCAAACACCTTATCGACTACAGAAAAGAGCCCAACCCTCTAGACAAGCAACAGCATCAACCAAAACGCAAGATTAAGCCAGTGCTCACCTTAATAGATAATAGTTTAGGTGGGTGCAGACCACTTATGCCAAAAACTGTACTGCATTACTTTTATATTAATTATTCTGAAGAAGGCGAGTTTGCCGAAACATCAGTCTGTATATTGTGGAATAAATATCTGTACCAATCTTGGACGCTGCTAAGGAAGTCAATCAGAAGATTCAAACTATGCCAAGATTTATGGATAGTCGAACATGGATTATGATGAGCTTAGATTTTCATCGCGATAAGAATAGAAAGACCAATTCAAGACTCACGGTCTCAGCTGATCTTCTCTACGACTGACTATACATATCTGGTCACGAAAACTATTCAGGCGATTGAAAGAAATGCAGTGGTCTACGAATGAAAATTTACGATCACTCTTAAAATGAGAGTTAAGTATTTGTTCGTGTAGTTACCAGCATTTAGTTAGACTTTGGTCATACGGCTTTTATTGCCGCTCTTCTCCATGGGTTACTCCTTACAATAAGTTTCTTCCGCCTTTTTCAATGCGATTTATTATCTTCATAACAGCTGGCGCGAACTTACAAAAACCAGTCCTAAGCCATAAATTGCAATCACGAAAGTAATATGACACAAGAAACATGCATTAGGGGTCTGTCAATGACGTCTCTCCAAATTTCGCGCAATTGAAGACTTACACTTATTCCCTGGATAGAATGGGGACTGTTTGATTTCATGTTTATGGAGCGTGTAAAAAAGTCTTTGCTTAGACAAGCACCTTAGAAGAGTGCTTTCAACGTATGAAATTGGAGTACCGATTGCTCCTGGAAGCAAATCTGTCGAATACCAGGATAATTTTTCAAAGAACTCTGCGAATGCGCGCGGACGCAGTAAGTCCAATTCTCGTACACTGACAGGAACTTGTGCTGTTATAATTCCCTCTCCTTTTAAACGGGACATTAGTTGATTGATGATCCATCTAACTACTTTTCTGTGGTGCGGCTCCCCTTTGCCCACGTGCCTTGAACAGCGATATAAGTGAGCGGTTGTCGCGCGAGACAGTAGGCGTTCACTTCTAAAGAATTTCTCCGACATTTTCATGTTGTTTCCAACATAGGTATATTGGATCTCAAAAGCTTCTCTAAAAAGTCTTAAAAGTAAAAGTCCTTAAAAGGTGTAAGGGAGTATATGCCGATAGGCTCCATCCACCTCGGACACTTGGCGATATTCTTCGACACTGCCCCTACTCGTGCAATTACACCACCTTGGGCAAGTCTTATTGGGGCCTTTCCAGCTTGACAGTACGCCGCAGCGCGCGGGGACTTGGTAGCTCGCAGCATTTCTGTCCTTTCCCTGTCCTGTCCTGTCCTACTGTCAAGCTGGAAAGGCTCCCAAAAAGCACGCCCGCGGTGGTGTAATTGCACTAGTTGGAGCAGTCGTCAACGAATATCCTTTACAAATCTGAGATGTCTGTAATATGGGCTGCGTGGTTCGTTGCAGATGTCCGCATGGAATACCTCCTTTCGGCAGCATGTGGTCCTCGATCCAATAAAGCGCCAGAAGGAGGCGCGAGCTCGCTGTCTCCTGTAACAAGCCTACTGCGCTTCAGGACAGGGCATCTCCGGCCGACGCGCGTGTTGGTGTTCAACACTAGCTGAGGGCTGTTGAGCTTTACATGGCCTATACATTGGCATGGCTCCACTTTAACTGGGATCCAAGCTAATACATAAGAGCTTGCTGGAAACTTTTGTTTTCAGCAAGCTTTTATTCTAGGCAGTATATCCAAAGAAGGTGGTAGTGACTACTATGGAATTTGTCCTTCATCCATATAGGCATCTCATATCTTATTGAAGGACAACAACAAACAAAAGGCAAAAGTATGATTAAATTTCTGGATGGGGAGGGGGGGGGGATGATTAGCGCATTGCTGCGGTTGTCCACTACGAAAGCAAACTATACCATGATTTTCGTTAGCCGTCACAAATGCGGCTGATCTGAAGGCAGATGCAGGTTGAACAGGGTTTTGTTTTTTATCTCAAATTATGGACGTTGACTGACTAGCAGTAGTTGTGTCTTTATCTGAACGGCAGTTCATATAATCCATGCGTGTTCGACAAATCAACCAAACTTCGCCCGTACACTCAACGGCAGAACCCACTGAAACTCTAGGTTCCATGTTTTTGTCGCTGTGGGGCCTTTCCGTGACTCTTGTAAAGTGCAAAATGTGCAAGACAACTAAAAACCCCAGTTTCTAGGAAATCTGTCTTGAAGGCGCGAGCAACTTTCAGTCTGAAGGGGCGGAGCTTGATAGGGTGGGCGTGGATTGACAGCACTTTCGCGGGTTTCAGGGCCCTTTGCTCCATCGGAGGTTGCACTAGAGGACCGCGGCAATGCAGGCCCCCCCCCCTCCCTCTTGGGGCCTTATTTTAGGCTAGGATTAATTGGGGTAGCCTAGTTTTTGCCTGAACGCGCGAATCTCTGCTCCGGGGGTGCGCCAGATTTGGAGGAGCCCCGGAGCACCAAAAGCGTGAAATGGGAGGGCTCCGCAGCACGAAGTGGCAAACCCCTGCTGGGCAGAGCCCGAAACCCTCCCATTTTCGCTCCGGAGGTATTCCTTCGACTGTCTGAGGATCAATCTTTCTGCGTAGAAAATGGCACATTGCACATCTACTACGACTATCTCGCTCTGAGAATGGAAATTGCTCTTTTTTCACGCAAATGGTCATTTATAACCAAACCAGATTCCTTCATGTCTCCTAGCACAGGCCGAGACCACTTTTCTCTAAACATCATTGTTGCAAGTAGTAGTTTTGGATCGGAAAAGCATGAGATTCCTTTCCGGTGAGTTTGATTGAAGCATAGCATGTCATATCCAGATGAGGGACATTTAGGTTCATGGAGAGTAGACGTCCTTGCTTTGATCGGCTATCAACTCTGCCAATATTTTAGCGTGCAACAACTCTATCCCATATTACTAAATTATGTACCACCAGTAAAATGCATAGGTGAGAGTCACAAAGAATCCGTCGTTTCATCCATTTATAGGCTTCATTTAGATGATCACTGTTTCAAGGTGACAGCGAAGTGCTATGCAGACTGTCCGGATTGCGCAGATGTTTGTTCGAACTCATCTTTGATTGGAGAGGTTTGTTGAAATTCATGAGGAACAGACCAGAGAATTGAGATAGGCGTAGATTTTCAATAATACTAGCTCAAGAACGCAAAAATTTATGTTAGGATAGAGGCGTAGATTTTCAATAATACTAGCTCAAGAACGCAAAAATTTATGTTAGGATAGCTGTTTTATATTTCAGCTGCCCCCCCCCCTATTCATTTGTTTACATTTAAGATGTTTTAGGACTTGTGCAGAGCAAATAATAGACCGTACTTTTATTCAGCTGCAATGGAGTACGAACAATTCTGCGATAGTTTTTACAAAGCGTGAGCTTCAGAAATTTTCCAACTTTTCTGAGATCAGTGTTGTTAGATTCTCCTCTTCAACAGTGCAATACCTCGGAGTATTACTCGGTAACTGTTTTGTGGGCTTTTTCGCAGATAAATATGGAAGACGGAAAGTAATCTTGATTGCGTTATCGCTAGGAATACCCAACTTGGTCTTGTCAGGTATGCGGAACCATCAAGTTTTGTGAATTCTCTATCAGCGTTTGATTAACAGGAGTCGTTATGAAATTGCATTTCTACTATATGTTCCGTTTTCTTCTCGGAATCAGTGTGTCAGGTACGAGCAAAGTCTTGCGTGCAAAGCTCAAGTTAATTCGTTCAGCCACCCAGTGTATTGGTTGGGCCTACTTTGCTGAGATGATATCTCCTAAGCACCGTTTCAAGCTAAGAACCTTCACCAGTTGGGTAAGTAGTACTCATGTTTTTCTTTTATGCGCAGTGAACGTGAAGAATTTAGACTAACGCTCGTTTGCTTATGACTGCCGTAACACACCTTGCCATGACATGGAGACTAGCCACTTATTATCATGCAATTCTTTCGCTGTTGCCTCTAGCTCTGGTCTACTTTCTACCAGAGAGCCCGCTGTGGCTCAAAAGGAAGGTGAAGTGAGGTTATTACAGTCGAGTAGGTTTTCTGCGTTTAATAGTGTGCTTGCGGTGCCGGAAAATTGTGGTTAAATTGCGCGTGAAAAAATAACCACGTCAGTAGTGCCGGTATTTTGCGCGCTAGTTGCTGGTGTCAAAAGATTTTACCGGGTTTTCTCAGCACCGCAAGCACACTATATAAAGCGGAAAGCCTATGATTGTACTTCGTTTCATTTTTATCTTTTCACCGTTGTAATGTTCCATGCAAATTCCATTGATTTACTGCAATTTTTTGGATACGTGAAGTTGCGAAAACAGTTCAGATGGATCGTGAGTTTTTAGGGATACCTTAAAGAAGAGGAGAGAGCACGAAGAAGGCTAGCATGGATCAACGGCATGGAATATAAGAAGGGTATGCTGTAGGATATTCTTCCAGTTTGTGTTTATAGATATGACTATGGAACTAGTCTTCTGTTGCAGTCGTCAATGCTGAAGAAAAAGAGAAGATAGTTCAGCATCCACAAGTGTCGCTTTCGCATGTACTGACTGATGCCGAACTTCGCTCTAGCTTCCTCGTTCTCTGCGTGATGTGAGTTCAACTAAAAGCCATATCATTTACATGGTGGAATATCTTACATCAGGTGGTTCTGTGCTGGACTCAGTATGTATATGATAGACCTTAACGGAGAGGACATGACGAAAAACTTTTGGGTGGGACAGTACATGTCGGCTGCATTGGCTTCAATCGTTCGCGTGGTAAGCGGAATGGTTTGGAGTGGCTGTTAGCTTTTCGCCAGATCGGGCGATCGCGGACGTCGATGGCCGCGGGCATACCTCACGTGATTTCAGTCGCTACGCGATCTAACAAGTTGTCAAATGTCTTCAAAGTCAATACTGGCAGACCCCGAATGCATAGCATGTATAACTTTCGTAGGTTGACAAAATGCCCTATCTTCCGTACACTTAAAACCCTTACGACTAGTTGTGAGCAATTGGAGTATTGCCGAATCGCGCGAGGTATATGCCTAGGACCTATGGCTGCGATGTCTCCAGGTATCTTCTCGATTTTCTCTTTTCATCTACTATCGATGTTGGCTCTGGATATCAGACGAGTTTTTGCTGAGCTCTTTGATAGTCCCTCTTGCGCGCCTTCCTCTTTCGTCAGAAAGTGGAAAGAACTAAGGAGTGGATAGGTTAATTACAGCTGTCACACCCGCACAGTGGAGCGGACACCTACTCAGTGCCAGACAGGGTATGCTTTGTAAATATGCGTCGCATGTTATGCACTGGACATACTTCACGCGATTTGGCATTGCTCCAGTAGTTCATAACTCGTAAGAAGTTTCTGGTGTACGGAAGATAGGGTATTCCTCAACCAGTGGAAGTTATTAATGCTATGCATAAGTCTGCTAGTATTGAATTTGAAGACATCTGGCAAATTGCCAGATGGCATGACTGAAATCCCGTGGGGTATGCCCAGGGTCTTAGTGTGTACGTAGTTTGCAGCATTTTTTTTGTCTATATCTTCGTAGAAACGTAGTTCCAGATTCTATAATTGAGTGATAAGATGAGTGATAGCCAACAGAGATTCAGTGAACGTATCATTCACTTTCTAACGAAAAGACACGAGCTCTGCGCACGTCTTATCAACAAGTGCGTTTTGATAAATCATCATTAGGAGTTCGTAAAAAGACGCATTCGAACCAGGGCCAAGCGTGTGATGCGACTGCGCTACGGGGGGTCGTAAAGGGGGCGCTGGCGGTGGGGGGGGGTCGTAAGAGAGGGTGGTCCGAATTAAAAAAGTGTGAATGTAAGAAATAAGCTTCTCAGTGGCAAACATTCTCTAAAACAGCATATTTCTCGCTGCAAAAAAGGTGTGGCAGACGGGGATCGAACTTGCTGGGCACAAGTATGACCGAAGATTTCAAAGACACTTTCAGAAGCTCAAACACTAGGCATGTATGTGTGACAACAATATTAAATGTACCAATTGGCATAGAAATCTGGTTTCGAAGCAGCACTGAACTCTCACATTCTCGACAAAAGCACTCACCTCTACCAGCGATGACCATTGGTAATTTTTGAAACTTATGGGCGCTATTCCACATAAGTTGACCCAAAAAATGAAGATCGTGAATCTCGCTAAAACTTCGTCTAGGGAAGTTATTTGGTACGCTGAACACGAATATGATGTTTATTTCGTGCGACAGCGCCATCCGGTGGAGTTACGGTAGGATTACGGTACGGGGTCGAAATCACGGATTTGCCCGAAACTTGGCCTAGAGGGGTTATTCGGCCCGCTGACGCCGAATATCACATTGATTTCGTACTGTAGTGTCATTTTCTCGAGTTACGGTGGGTATACGGTAGGGGTCCGTCTCCCTGCATGGTTACAGTAGGTTTACGGTAGGGGTCAAAATCACAAATCGGCAAATGTATCTTTCCCCTGTGCTTTGCTTAGGCAAAAGCAGCAGCAGAGTGTGTAGGGTGTGGCGGTGGTCATGTGTGCAAAGCTTCACGATCATCCGAATCGCCATACACCCGTTTCGGGATGAACTATGTTTTACACCCGTTACCGTGTATCTACCGTAACCCGAGAAAATGACGCTACGGTTCAAAACCAATGTGATATTTGGCATCAGCGGGCCGAATAACTCCTCTGGGCCAAGTTTCGGGCAAATGCGTGATTTTGACCCCCTACCGTAGTCCTACCGTAACTCCACCGCATGGCGCTGTTCAGCGTACGAAATAACCCTCCTAGACGAGGTTTTAGCGAGATTCACGATTTTCATTTTTCGGGTCAACTTATGTATAAAGCTGATTGTCTGTTTATTTGTCTGTCTGTCTGTCTGTCTGTACGTATGTTCCGAACAGAAAATTCCATTTCTGAACCGATCGGGACCAAACTTGGCACACATACACTTCGAGCCCCGGCGGATGTCATAGGCTACTTTTCGTCATCGATCGATGTCGATTTTATCGATTTTTTGCAAAATTTGAGCTAAGGGGCTGGGAGTTGGCATAGGGGGGTAATCGAGCATGCTGATCACCCCCGTGGGGGTGATCAGCATGCTCGATTACACCCCCTGCCAAATTCCAGCCCCCTAGCTCAAATTTTGCAAAAAATCGATAAAATCGACATCGATCGATGACGAAAAGTGGACTGTGACATCCGCCGGGGCCCGAAGTGTATGTGTGCCAAGTTTGGTCCGGATCGGTTGAGAAATGAAATTTTCTATTCGGAACATATGGCGGAGCCGGGTAACCCAGCTAGTGTGGAATAGTACCCTTTTTTGCTATGTCTTTCAAGGGCCCATACAATTTACCTGTACTTTGGAGATGCTCTGCTACAGTTGTGCAAAATCTGGTTGTATTTCATAGCCTGTGGATTTTTTCTTTGAAATTTTATATATGGCAATAAAAAATGAAGAGGCGGGGGGGGGGGGGTCGCATCTGGGTCGCATCTAAATTTTTTCGCCGCTATGAAGGCCTGCTCGCTGCAATCTTGCTGTAATACGAGGCCATCCTCCTTCTTTCTGTCATAAAAATTTTACGATATTTCATGACTTCTCCAGTAAGTTACAAAATTTCAAGCTTAAAAATCCCAGTTTTTGCCCTTTAGGATCGCATCTAAATTTGCGAGAGTCGCATCTAGATTTTTTCGAGCTCACTGCTCATCAATGGCTGAAATTTTTTCTTGGATAGTCTGGGCACAATACTGCAGAGTCTATTCATTACAGCCTCTCAGTCTTTCTCTCACCTTAGTTACGAATTTTCAAATTACCGTGCTCATGCACGTTGACATCGTTCTGTAAGGCGCCAAAACGTTTTTTTTTTCGCAGGAAAATCTGCGCAAAAGATATAAAGTAAGCTTTCTAGTCGAAAACAATTTTTACGTTTTTCCACCCTGCAAAAAATATTGTTGCGTACGGGGATGGGACACGGGACTGTCGTTAGAGGCAGCGTCCACCCAAAATTTGGCCCCCATGTTTTTGTCATTTTGGTGCCTTTCCGGCCCTGACTACAGTTCCGAACTTCAAATTCTCCAAAATTCACAAAAAACCCGATTCCTGGGGACCCCGTCTTGAGGGCGCGGACGAGTCTCGAATCGCTCGTCCCCGTCGGCAGGCCAGCGGGAAGGAGCTGCAACTGCATGACTGCAGTTGCATTGCAGTGTGCAGTGTGCAGCTTCTGCTCACTATCATGTCAGTACGTGTCGGGAGGCAATCCCAGGTAGGCGGAGTCTGATATCAGACCCCGCCCAGCCAGGGACTTTCAGGCCCCTTATCTCCATTCAGAGACAACGTTAGAATACCGGACCAACGCAGATGCCCCTTTCCTGGGGCCTACATTCAGGATCGACACTAATCGGAGGGGGCCAGGTTTAGCCTGGACACTGCCTTCAAAGGCAGCGTCCAGGCAGATCCGAACTCGACGACCACGCCCACTTCCCTCGGACGGCCAACCCCTTATGAACGAAATCTCCTCAGCCTTGACGTGTTTTCACGTGACCAACTCAGTCGAACTTACAGCGTTTACCTGTTGATACTTGCTTTCGACAAGGATAATATCAGAAGCACTCGTCCGGGTTTCTCCAAAATAGCCCCAAAAGGTGGTTTTCTGAGAAATTTACGCTTTTTGAGTTCCATATCCGGAATCAGCGCCTTGGAAAGGCCTGGATAACATGAAAATATAGAAGTCGAGAATCTGCCTGGACGCTGACTTTAAAGTCTTAAAGGTTCTAATTTCCAGAACCATAGTTTTTATCTTTCGGTATCACTGGATTATGAAAGGATTATGCCGAACAATAAACAGTAGAATAGTCTATTAACCTTCACTAGAAAAGGAGTTATTATAGTTTCACCTAATAGTAAAACCACCAAAACGCGTTAGAACTCAAAACTCACTCTCAGGACTTGTTAAGCAGACGTACGCAAAGTATGCTCGTGGCTCTCAATCAGAGAATGTATGATACATCCTCTAACTCGGAAAAAGATGCGGGAGAACTGGTTCACCATGTGCTGCACTATGGGCGATACGACCGATTGCACTTATGGCACAGCAAAACGCCAATTGCTCGTTATTTTATGCGTTACTTTTTGCCTATGGAACCGCCATACAAATGAAGGCAGGTGGCTTGGCGAAAGGGGAGCTTGTCAGATTTTGGTAGACGGACCCCACAACATAGCCCTACCCCCAGCCTTCAATAAGAAGTCCTGAAAACACGCTCCAAAAGCCCACAACCCCGCCCTTTTCCGATGAGTGGGCGTCAATAGTGGGCTTTTGAAGCGCGTCTTCGGGATTTAGAGCATGAATTGGCAATGGGATCTGAGCTATGGTGCATTTGGGGGGGGGGGGGGGGTTACTACCAGACATCAAAAATCTGACAGGACTGCATTTTGTTTAATCACAACTATGGCGCATGATTGACTTTTTGTCTCACCAAACTGAGGTGCATACGTTCATCGCCCCAGTTTGGAAATATCTTTACGGTACAGTTCGTTCAAGAAGTAGCAAATGTGGTTAGACTTGACTTTTCTGGATGAAAAAAAGTGCACCTTACCAATTGTGTGTTTTTACTAAGGCTTTTCAACAAGAATCTTGCTTTTTGGAATGTCGTAAGGCACTTGTATTTAAATGCAAATGATTCGAAAGTTTGAATAATTGAAATTTTGAAATTTCGAATAATATCGATAGACTATATTCGAAATTTTTCATTTTTGTTTAATATGCGAAAGTCGAATATTCGGAAATCGAATATTCGGAAGTCTCAACTTTCGAATATTATTCGATAGTCAAATATTCGAAAATTTCGATTTTCAAATGTTAGTCGACATTCGAATATTCGAAAATTTCCAATTTTCTAAACATGGTACATAGACCCTATTTGGGAAGTAAGCGTGGAATCAGCGGTATTAGTCGAGCATATCGGTAGTCTCTGCGTACACAGAATAGATCTTAATCTATCTTATATATAAAGCTGAATGTCTGTTTGTCTGTCTGTCTGTATGTCTGTCTGTATGTCTGTCTGTCTGTATGTATGTACGTATGTTCCGAATACAAATTTTTATTTCTGAACCGATCGGGACCAAACTTGGCACACATATACTTCAGGGCAGGGAGCGTGTCATAGGCTACTTTTCGTTATCGATCGATATCGATTTTATTGATTTTTTGCAAAATTCGAGCTAGAGGGCTGGGATTTGGCAGAGGGGGGTAATCGAGCATGCTGATCACCCCCGTGGGGGTGATCAGCATGCTCGATTACACCCCCCTGCCAAATTCCAGCCCCCTAGCTCAAATTTTGCAAAAAATCGATAAAATCGACATCGATCGATGACGAAAAGTGGACTGTGACATCCGCCGGGGCCCGAAGTGTATGTGTGCCAAGTTTGGTCCCGATCGGTTCAGAAATAAAAATTTGTATTCGGAACATACGTACACGGGTCTAGCTGGCAGGCCCGGCGGAGCCGGGCAAGCCAGCTAGTATATATATAAAACTCAAAAATTGTCAGTTTGGAGGGTATGTGCGCTATAGAAACGCGCGCCGCTCAACCGATTAAGCTGAAACTTTACACACATATGTTTTCGAGCCTTGCGCAGATGATAGGCTACTTTTTGCAGCGATTCGTTGGGTCCTTCTATCGATTTATTGATTTGCAGCACTTTGCAATAAAAATGATTCTTTCATTTGCTATCAAAACAGGGGTATGTAAACAAGGCTGGCATGTCTCATTGTGAACTTCTGTTGACGAAGTGCAGTGAAAAGTGTTCTTGATGTGAGTCTTAATTGCTCATTTAAATGGATGCACTAAATGTATCTTATGCGGAAACCTTAGCGTGCAAGAGACCATGAGTGCTTTGTAGCGAGTGTTTTGCACGGAAGCGTGCTCAATTTACGCTTATAATCAATGCTTTCTTCGTTACATGCTCAATTTAAACAATGAGGGGTCAAAATTTTTCATGAGATTGCGCACAAATTATTTGTCAATACCAGAAATAATGTCAAGACAAGCGACAACTCACATTCGCTATAGTTGATCCCTTGGACCAGGAAAGTGCGCGAGTGCAAAGTACTGCCGACTCCACAAAAATTGACGGCAAGCAGTGAATGAAGATGAAGTAGCTGGTTAACGGCAAAATGTCACAAAAAATGATCCTCATAATAACAATGAGCGCTGCTATCAATTAACTCGCGCTGCTTGCTTAGGTTTTGCGTGTTGAACTTGATTTGGAGAAAGAGAGATATGCTACCGACTAATAAGTGTTCACATTTTGTTTTTGTTCTTTACACAGTTTCTACAATGCCACCGAATACCTTATCTTCATTCCCGATCAGTGATCATTCCCGGGCTGGACCGGGCAGATCAGCTAGTAATTGACTATAATTGACTATACGTGAAGTGTGCCCAGCAAAATGAGATCTGGGAATGCCGAATTAGGCCCAAATCCCGTCCAAGTTGGCGAATGGTATGACCTGTTTCAGTCGTCACCTCCTTTTTCTAGGCCACGCTAATGAACTCCGTAGCATTTATCAGAGCAATATTGGCTGCGCCCTCCTTCCCTGTTTTGCTTTTTCAAAACCACAGAAGGGCGGCGTCGGTGCTGAACTCAAAATGCTATGCCATGTTCTTTCATAGCTCATCCCCAATGCACCAAGACCACTTGCCTTAAAGGCAGTACATCGGCAGAATGAGACCCGTGACAAGACAAGGTCACAGGGTAGGAGCCCCCATATGAAACCTATCGGCCAAAGTCCGATCCATGGGATGGGCGGGCCAGAGAATACAGGAGATGAGCGCTGCTTTCGCGTTGAAATTTTGGGGGTTAGATGGCAGAGAAAGATCGGACTTCGACCGATAGGTTCCATATGGGGGGCTCCTACCCTGTGACCTTGTTTTGTCACGGGTCTCATCCTGCCGATGTACTGCCTTCAAGTGGAGGCAAAACAGATTTTTAGCTTTCTTGAACTACACTCAAGTTGCCACACATGTTTTAGCTGTTGCTGGAACCCACCTATTCAGATAGTTGGTTTTGCTGACGCTTACCTACCTTGGCTGGGAAGACGCAAAGTTTACATCCTTTCCATGGGCATATGCATAATCGCATCCGCGGGCTTGCTTATCCAGCTACTTTCCGGAGCAAAAGTAAATGCTTTTAATTGATGAAGTTCAGTTTCAATGGTACCATAATTCAGGGTTCCACCTTATATTTCATCACTTACTTAACCGCTTACAACTCTATATCTGTGTCCATGGAGCCCAATTACCTGGGAGCTGCTGAGCTGATGCCAACAGATGTAAGAGGCAAAACAACAGCGATGTTGAACATTATTACTCGTGTTGGAACCGTTCTGGCTTCACAAATGGTATTTTTGGATAGAACTGAGCACGCGACGTTGTCTAACTAATCGAGTTCACCTTCAGATCTACTTTAAGACATTCTTTGAGCCGGCAATCATGATTGTGCTAATCATTTCCAATCTAAGCGGCTTTCTTGTAGTTACGAGATGGCTGAAGGTATAGTCGTTTACGTTTTATGCTTGAAAACAACATTCTGTTTTTAGGAGACGAAAAACATCAGTCTAGAGGGCGTTGGACATAACTTCAAAGCAAATGAGTAAGAAACGACTGGCATGTCCTACATCAATCGAATTTCCGCATTCAATTTCTGTAGTCTTTTCTAGTGTTGATATCGAAGCACCGACTTCCAGGAGGCTCACGTCGGATGGTCACAGTGGATCCGTTCGAATACGAGATGTTCAGAAAGAAAAAGAACAGGCGTGATTGCTGGCGGGAAGCACAGATTTCTTAACAGCGGCGGAGCCATCCATTCACTATGCCTGCGGCACTGGAGTTTTAGCAGATATACGAGATTGATATTGTAGTCAAGTTGTTTGTATGATATTCATTTACAATAAATTATGTCGGTGGAATAACTAGGGCTCGGCATGGATTGGCTACAAATTTCTTGATAAAGCCTACATTTCGGAACATCTTTTGGAGTTTTAAGGTCACGGAGAATCATCAGCAAGGTGTTAACTCTGGTTCACATCCATGTGCCCTCATCATCAAATCGAAGCCTTTAAGGACTTCTTGCTTTAAGACTAATTTATCCAGTCTAAAAAATTAGATTAGGGATCTCGCTTTTATCGTGTACTAGCTGGCAAACCCGGCTCCGCCCGGCCCTGTCATTATTATATTCGTAATCAGCATGCTCGATTACCCCCCTGTGCCAACTCCCAGCCCCGTAGCTCAAATTTTGCAAAAAATCGATAAAATCGATATCGATCGATAACGAAAAGTAGCCTATGACACGCTCCCTGCCCCGAAGTATATGTGTGCCAAGTTTGGTCCCGATCGGTTCAGAAATAAAAATTTCTATTCCGCACATACGTACAGACAGACATACAGACATACATACAGACAGACATTCAGCTTTATATATAAGATCACGTACTTTTTGGATGCAGTGTCCGGGCTTAAAAGCAGTGCCCTGGCAAAAAGTCGATTTTGAGATTTTATGCTTACGGATTGTATGGATTTACGCCCCCAGCTTCCGGAGCGATGTTCTCGATTCCGATTTCAAGTCATGCGTTCGCACTTGGCCGGGGCGATGTCATGGGGGCTAGCGAGATAGAGAAGATCGTTCTGCAATTAGGAAGCGTGAATTCACAGTGGAGAAGACCCCACCCACCCGCTAATTTCCCTGCAGTCTTAGAGCCCTTTTTCGCCGTTTTCGCGCTCTCCTATGTGGATTTTCGGATTGAGCATAGCAAATAGGCCGCCTAAAGGCAGTGGTCGGCAAAATCCAACAACTCAGGATTTTAACGCGGTAGGTTCCATGTCGCCCAAGTATGAAAACAGTGCAATCCCGGCTGCACAGCATGCTTTCCCTGCCGAGAAAATCGCTCTCAAACTTACACACGCAAGCCAATCTTACACACATTTGGACAAGTGGCAATTTCCTTCTCACCAGTTGATAATCGTTTGAGCTTGCTAAGCGTCGACCAAGATATCAGCCACACTTTATTCACGGCCAACGTTTCGGCGGGATCGCCTTCCTTCTCACCATTGGAGGGTGCCCGCCGCAGCGCTATGGGAGACGGTCAAGAGGCGCGATTTTTCTGGCTGTCACCAACTTAAAACTCCAGTTTAGTGCTATGCGAGTCTTTGAAAATTACCGGATAAACTGCAATAGCTTACTGCAATAGGTCTGAGGTCACCACTTGCTGATTTTCATGGTTTTTGCTATAAATCGGATTGAGATACCAATGTGTTCTGAAAAGCATTTTCATGAGTTCTTGACCTTCAAAATGGCTGTTTTGAATTTTTCCTAGATATCAAGACTGAACAACAACAACAACAACAACAACAACAACATGCAACTACCTAATATATCTTTTTCTAGATTTCATATACTTTTAGAAAGTTGCAGAACACTTATTGTAGGGCATACCAACCACCATCGGTCGTGGGTACCCGCGGGATGAGGCTACAAAGGCGCGACGCGGGCGGGGAAATTAGTACCCGAGCGCGAAAGTCTGCTGGTAGATTTTTGGCTAGGGTTGAATTATCGCTGTTTTCCGAAAATTCTTGCTCTGAATTGTAAAGAAACTTCTTTCGCGTATCTGTCCAGCTTCATTTGTACTTGACTGCATGTTGGAGTATCTTATTTTTTGTGTCTCACGCGATTTGAGTAGCATGAGAGCACCCTGACTTCTTTTATTCCAAATCGGTAATAGTTAATGCAGTTTTGTGTGACTGTGACTCCAATCTGACACTTTGATTGTATCAATTTTGAGATTAGGAGAATTGATAATGTTGCACATGTTGTTTAACAAACATGAACATGTTTCTCCTTCAATCTCTAGTAGTAAACCAACCAAATGGGGTAAATAACAATAACATTTTCTCCTCATGCTTGCGCAAAGCGTGCTCGAGTCTCCTTAACTCAGATTGGATGTTAATTTTCTGCTGTGCATGAGCAAAAGATGCGCTTCGCCATTTTTGCTTGAACACTCTTCATTCGAACAGCGCCACCACTCGAAATGGTTAGTAATCGTTACAAGCACGGAACCTCATGCCTAACAAGAGAATAGAAGGTGAGCACGGGGTAAATCAACGGCATGACTCTAAGAACAAGGCTAGCTTTCGCGCCCAAGTGCAATCTCCTTCGCTCGCGTCGCGCGCGCGCTGCCTCATCCTCTGGGTACCCATGACCGATGGTGGCTGGTATGCCCTATATGTGCTATTTGGTGCCCAGCTGGCAATAAAAATCGCGCCTCTTGACATACACCCCCAGCGCTATAACCATTGGGTCCTGCAACGATTTAGCGTCATCGGCCTTGCTCCACTCGTCCAATTCCAAAGGGAATGGCATTAAAAAACGCTTATTTTTTCACTCTTCCAAAAGTGGATTTTCGGGATCAGCGTATTGAATAACCCCAGGTAAGCGCAAATTTGACTAGGTTGAGATTTGCCGAGCCACTGCCTTGCGGAATATTATTAAATTATATTTATTGCACAGGAAGTGCGCCTTTACAAATCATAGAACACAATTAATACTCATTCAAAGAGCAAAAAAAGAAATAGTGAACATAAGACAGAAAACTGAAATCATTATTTTTGGGAGAAAGAAAAATGTTTTCGGAATAGCGCCCCTTAATGTGTGTTATACAGAACAGATTAGCTGTAGAGCTTTATGAACAGTCGACTAACACGTGGGTTTTGTGGTAGAATGCTGAGGATAACAGGCGGAGCAAAGTAACTTAAATAATCTACTCCATTTCGCACTTTCTTCTTTTTGTCTGGATAGAGCCGTGGTCGTTGGTGAGTGGCGCGTACAGTAACTGTCTTAAGATCCGCGAAGTACGAGCCGGCATGGCGACGACGGAAGACAGATGTTTGGAATAACCAGACGATGAAATTTTTGTGATTAGCACACTCAACGCAATAGGATGATAAGGAATTGGGCCTAGAGGTATCATCAATGAGCACAGTAGTCTTGTATGGAAACGGAGCGAGAATTTGCTCATCATTGGAGAAAGCTGTCTTTGCTTCTCCTGTTACTGGAAGGCCATGTCCTGCAGAGATGCCACAGCGTGGGCGAGAAATGTTGCGTCCGTGGATTGGTCATCGTTGCCATTGACTATCTGCAGCTCGGTTTTTGGTGATTCTCTCGCTTTAATTGTCGCACAGCTGAAGCCACCCTCATCGATAACTGGGGTGTCCGCTGTAGAAGATTTCTCTGTTTCGTCGTAAGCATGTGAGCTATCTTCTTTGGTTGCTGGTTCCAGAAAGGTATGTTCATCTGTGTTGGTATTGAACAGTTTTTTACGTTCCAGTCTGGATAGTTCTGTCTTTGCCTTTGATTCACATTCTTCTAGTGTGTAAATAAACATTTGGGTATCATTAGTGATTTGACTTATCTCTCTGTTAAAGGTAGTGGCTCGGCAAAACTCAACAACTCAAAAGTTTAACGCGGTAGACTCCTTACTGCTTAGGTATGGAAACAGTGCAATCCCGGTTGCACAGCGTGCCTTCCTTGCCGAGAAAGTTGCTCTCAAACTTACACGCGCAGGCTATTTTTACACGCATCTGGACGAGTTGGCAATTTCCTTCTCACCATTGGAGGCTGCCCGCCGCAATGCCATGACCATTGGGTCCTGCAACGATTCGGCGTCATTAGCTTTGCAGCATTCGTCCAAATCCAAAGGGAAGGGCATTGAAAAAAGCTCGTTTTCGGCATTTTCAAGCTCTCAAACGTGGATTTTCAGAATCAGCGTATTGAATAACCCCAGATAAGCGAAAATGTGACTAGGTTGAGATTTGCCGAGCCACTGCCTCTAAGCTAGCGTCCTATGATGCATCTAAGGGTATGGTCCCTGCAAACCTCTCCAACACCAGCATGCTACAGGCCGCCTCCGCGATACGCAGTGTAGTCCAAATTTTGTTATAGAATCGTTTAACGCTACGTTATTGTATACTAATGTGTCAAACGATGCTGCATTGCAAAATATCTGCGAGCTGCTATCGGAGCATCAGTCCTCGCTTCACCTATATGGATTCAGCATAAACACCATAATGACTCTGCTACAGGAATGCTTGCATTGTGACGTTTTTTGACGGGGCGGCCATTATTATAAGTAGGTACGAGGCTTAACAATGGGGCAACGCTTAGCGCCCACATTAGCCGTTGCTTTTATGTCTGAGGTTGAAGCCCGGTACTGTAGCGAAAGCCACCGCTTTATTGCTTCATATGGATGATTATTGCATTGTATGCTCCATACAAACTGAGATGGACATATGCTTCAGCATCCTCATCGAGCATTTCCCAAGCATGAAGTTTACGAGGGCAAAACCTCACGAAATGGCTTCCGTTTCTCAAAGCCCGTATTTTCTTATCGCGCGGGGAGTACAAAACCAAGTGGTATCACAAGCCCACCTGCAAAAATATTTTGTGCACTATTGCACTTGTGCACTATTCTTCTGCGTACCTCACAAAATCAAAAATTCTACTACAAACATAACAGCTGCTGCGTTTCGTCTGATAGCCACGAACGCATCGAATGTATCGTTGTCTTTGGCTCACCAAATTGCCCATTCAAGGGCACTGCGGTAGTACACCGCGATCGCGCAGCTTTGTGGCAGTGGGCCCTGTTTAGTTTCTGTAGCAGACAAGAGCCCTTTTGCCTGCCCTTTGTTTCGTATGAATTTAGCAGGGCTTTGCGGCGATGCGTGCATCGGGTGGGTTTGCAAGAGGCCGTTAGAGTGTAGATATATCGCCTCCGGACCTAAAACGGCGATTGGTTCGCAACCGTATATGACCGTCTCTGTTTCACACCAGGCTGTGTAGTATGCCCATATAGCGAAGAGGGTGACTTCGTGGTGTCGGGAGTGATTTATCTGATTGTTTATCATGTGTCAACACCTACATCGGAAAGACCGGCCGCCCTCTTTGTGCTCGTATCAAAGAACATCTATTTGGGCTAAATTATTCTAAGCTCTCCACACCCCAGGGGAACATCGTAGAACATGCCACGAAAAGCTGAAGTACAAATTGGACTGAACATCTTGTCGTTTGAGCCCGAAGTCCTAACACGCAAAACGTTGGAGGCGTATTGGAGAGCTGCTAAAGATATAAAGAGCAGAAAAGACGAGTGCATCGCGATCACCACCGAACTCGCACCTATCAACCCCTCTGTGGGATTTTCCTGAGATCAGGTCACGTTGGCGTATAAAAATGAGTTGAGACACAGTTTGGCATAAGGTGGTCTGTTTTTCAACTACCGCTTGTGCTGTGTCTAAGGTAAGTAAAAAGTGATTTTGGCTCTGGTTCTGTTTTCCAGACTAGTCTTGTTTTCAGCTGTGTTTCGTCTCTGTTCTTGACATCTGACCACATACGCAGACACTGGGAGTGGACGAGGCGCGACACCTTTCCGGCTGGAATTTCGCAGCTCCCGTGGCTCGGCCGGAGAGTAGGCCTCGGCTCAGCCGGCGAAGAGCAGCCTCGGCTCGGCCGCAACTGGTAGTCGGGCCGTCAGTAATTCATTCTAATCCGGCCTAATTAGACCTTGGTCCACCATTCAAAGGGCTCCCCTTTGTTACTAAATCATATGAAATTTGATAGTCTAAGCCGGACCAAATACGCGGTAGAACTGTCTATTATTCACTGGCAAGAAAACACACAGTGAATAAAACAAAAATTGAAGCCCCCGATACGCAGGTTCGGAAGCAAAGTTCGACTTTGAAATCTGATAACTCCAGCTGCTATCCAAAGTTGCCAACAAGACAACATATTGACTTTGTGTCTGGTAGGCTGGAAATACAGCCAAGGCTATGGACATTGAGGGCAGCCTGACCATGCGTCGTACATCTCTCGCAAGTATCCTTTACGCTGAAACACTAGGAGTGGCCGAGCCGCGGCCTTCATTTTACCTAGGCCGCCGCTCGGCCGGAGTTTCTAACACGGATTTTGGTCCGCGGCTCAGCCGCTGCAATTCGCCACCCCCTCATTGAGGGCCGCGGCTGGGCCGGTGATCCTATTTCCTCCCGCGGTTGCTGGTGCAATGTTGATCATATGAACGAAGGGCTGCGGGTCAGCCGCACTCTGGTCACGCCTCCAAATTAGGGCCGCAGGCGGGCCGGAAAGGCCTTTTGGGGCCGCGGCTCGTCCGCTCCCAGTGTCTGAGTAATCACTTATGACTTCAACTTTTCAAGCTCCGTGAAAGGCGTCGAACGCTGAAACATCGAACGTCAGCCAATAAAGTATTGTTGCTACCAATCTTGATAGTAGCTTGAAACTACATCTATAACTGATTATCATGCCAAGATTTAAGCACAACCGAACGATGCCGATGTTTAATGATCTTTTATAATTCTTGGATAAAACCGTAACATAACTACTTCCGACCACTGTACCAGAGATACATGCACAAATATCGCTATCGTTCGATTAGCTGCTCTTTCTCATCGCGAGCGCGCATGCCGAAGTCTCTCCTAGCATTTGCCAGGGCTGCTTTCCTGATTTGGCGTATATCAATATCTTGTCTCGTTTCGAGTTCGCGAATTTCTTACTGTCGAAAATGATCAACGTGGGAGAGGGCGCCGTCTTTTGAGACGCTGGTGGCCAACCCTGTCCGGCAGCAGCACACCATTTTGTGAGATCGGTTGTTGCCTGTCGCTGGTCAGTAGACGTGCCTCATTGTCTTCCCGCAGTGCCTTTCCATTGCTTTTCCTACTTACAGGAATGAGGAAGAAATTTAAATTGAGTTTCTGAAAGGGTAAACGAAACAGACCGCAAAAAGCTTAAATAATGGATAATGGCAGAAAAAAAGGGTTTTCAACTTATTTCAAGTGTCCGTCCCAGTTGTTTGTTGTCGATTGCGCTGCAGCAGCCTTCAAATATAGAAGCCATCCATAGCCGTTTACTAGCCATGTTACGTTGCATAGATCATGAGAATGATCTGCTTGTAGATTCAGGCAGAAGCGCGGGCTTGGCAACTTAGAATGCATGATATATATATATATATATATATATATATAACGAAAAGAGCAATTTTTTATGGGTTTGACATTATCAAGGAGATCCTGTGGACTGCTTAACCCTTTGGGACCTGGTGATGGCGATTGCCACCATCAACTTCAAAGGGCAGTGTTACTGGCGCAACAACGGATTTCTATTACTTATTGCTATAGGTAGCTTCAGACAACCTTTGCCTTCCTAATAGTGATTTGCAAGCCCCATTTCATCCATGGTGGTACTAGCAATGTGGGAATCTTTGTGCACAAGTGAGTGACAAAAAATCGGTAACCGTTGTCTGCCGCAGCATCTGCTGGAAAAATATCGATTATCTTCCCTGATAGTTGAAATGAATTTACACTATTAACAGAAGTGTGGAGTATGATGTCACGCGAGCACATTTGCTATGAGTACGCGATTTCATCTTTGTTGGATGAAATTAGAAAATTGAATGAAGGTTGGGAGAAAAAATTAAAAATAAAAACGTCTTGTTGTCGAAAAAGTTCCAAACTTCGCTGTATTGTTATTCCAACGCTGCCCTATCATAAGCAGTAGGTGAGCAGTTCTCTCTCTTACTGGGAAAAAGTCAGGTCCTAAAGGGTTAAAGCGCTGTCGGTCGTTTTGCCACCAAGGCTAAATATGCACTGTGGATATGAAATGCATTCTATCTGTGTACTATTAAAATTTTGATGGAACATGAGAGACTAGCGGCTGTTTCATCAAGAATTATTACATGCGTCATCTTAAGTTACGCCTAACAACATCAGTATTACTGACAAACTTTGGAAAAACCTAAGAAAGCAAGCTTGGCAAAACTGTCATGTGCGGAAAAGATGTAAGCGATTTAACTTTTGCAAAAGTTCCATTCTTCAGAGCTACAATTTTGCTGGATGCTTTTTACGTCCTAGAAAATACAGAAAGAAACGTGCACGAATTGAAGTCAAGTGCACTCATCGCTTGAAAGAAAGGAGAATGTGAGCGAAACACCTACGAGAGTGCCGAGCGCGCAGCTGCCGAGGTGATTTGCGGTCGGCTTAACATCGACACGCAAGAGTCACCGCACTCTCAGCTGTATGGAGAAGAAATGCAAAGAAACGCGTAAAGAACATTACCTGAATATGCGTCAGCACGCTTTTTAATGAGAACCAAACTCAGCAGATCGGGCTGTTGCTTTAATGAGAAGTTGAGCTCATGCATCGCGCTTGCTTGCTCCTGTGTCCGTTATGCACGATAGCAAAGTGAGTAAAGGTCAAGTGGGAACAAGTGAACATTCGTTTTGCTGTTGTTCGGCTCATTGATTTGACCGATAGCGAATTGGATTATTTAAATCAAGTTGGCACAGCCTTAAGTGCTCGCGCTGACCATGTGCGCACTCAAACTGAAAGTAGATATACTGCCTCTGCTGAGCACTAGACTTCAGTCTACAAAACCAGGTCGATGGCCGGACCACAAACCTGCACATCTTTAGCGTTTTGTGATGAAAGTTTCGTAGCAGATTCCTTCAGCCTTCGTTACGTTTTTCAAACGAATGACATAATGTAACAGACGTTAGCAAACAGTTGCAATGCGGAAATCAGAAAATTCTTATTTTGACAGCCATCGTTAATCCTTATCAATTCGAGGATGACCACCGTCTTATGCCATTGCTCTGAATGAAATCACACTACGAAATGCTTTTCGGAAAAGTACTTAAACGCGCCTTACGTTGTGTTTCATTTTAGTTCTATAGTTCTTCGTTGGTTGCCAGTCGCAAACAATTGGCTCTTTGGAAGAATGCTGCCAGGTGGGGATGTTACTTGCTCGAAGCTCTTTTGAGAATCATTGTTAATCGTCTGGATGCTCGTTCTTCAATTCTAAGCGAATGAAAACGCAGACTGCAATAGAGTAGAAGTGAAAAACTCAGGAAGTAGTTCAGCTTAAAAAAGGAGTCTTCCCAACTTTGAACAGTTTGTGTCGCATTGTCCATGTTCGTCCAGGAATCGGCCATGTGTTACAACACTGTAGCGGCTTCCACCAAACTCTCGTCTAGGACTTTGAGCCTAATCAACTAACAAAAAAATCGGGCAGATTAGAACGTCTACGCCTAGTTAATTGTCGCTGTGTGCAAGACAAGAATCCGGACAAGTAGCGGTAGTGGTATCTCGTGAGAAATCAGAATCGAAATTGCTATTTTCCTATTAGCTGCATCATACCTGCTTAAACTCGAAGCCCTCGGTGATCATGCTGCTTCGACTCGTGTGCAGCCGGAACGTAGTTCTCAAGACCCCACCAGTCATTCGTCAGAACGACTTCCCAATTGTATGAAAAGCAATATGCAAAACTTAATCACTGGTATTGATAATGCCGTTTGTCGATGTCGGCCTTTCATTGTTCTGGAAGGGTATAAAAGATCGGTGTGCATTTTTGCAGCCGAGTTGCTTGTAGTGAGGAGGTTCAATAAGCACCGCTCAAGCATCTAAAGCCTTGAAGTACATTTGTCCAACGAAGCCAGTCCGCTTGGTAATTTTTGATTCAACTGGATTAACGATTGGAAGGCGGGGCCTTGTGAACTATTCAAGGCCGCTTGCGCCCTCGACGCTGCGTTCCCGCGCCCGTGCTCTCTGATGATTACCTAGCCTCAATCGGGTCATGAAGCCCTGCCTTTCAGCGCTAAGCCAGTTGAATAAAAGGGTACAATCACACACAGGGCTCGGCACCAGGGTAATTTCAAAAGGAAGTCCCGTTTGATATTGAAAATTTCGTACGAAGTTCCTTTTGACCTGTTTTGAAAAGCCGTCAACATTTTTATATTATGTAAAAAATGTAGTAGTGTTTTCATGCATTTCTGATTTCATAAAAGAAGTTTGTACAGCTTTCTGAGCTTTTTAAGTGGTCGAATCACATCTTGAGAAGCAGAAAAAGCCGATTTTTCAACTGCGGAGCGGACCGAGTCTTTTTCAAATTGCTATAAAACGCTGAAAAAACATTATGAAAGTGTTTCTTCTCCATATGTAATCTTTTACAGTGTAGATACATTTTATGTAAAAAAAGTATGAAAACTTATGTGAGCAAAGTGTCGGTGCCAGCTCAGCTGGCACCCAGCTGGCACGGTGTCAGCTAATTCAGAAAAAAGTTGGGCACAGCTTTCATTCACATAAGTTTTCATAAATTTTTGGCCCATAGTTCCGGTCCACCAACGCGCATGCACACACCAAATTTGGTGTCATACTATCGCGTTTTGGCTGAAAACAACGCCTTTGTTTGTTGATGGACAGCTTGCCAATGGCATGCCGTTGGCATGCCGGCGGCATTTTTGCGGCAGTTCTCCGCCTCGGCCCCTGTAGAAACGATAACCCCTTTGCTTTCCGCCCTAAAAACGATATCCAGCTTGACCCGGTGCCAGCTGTGCTGAGCCCTGATCACACACCTACGCGCGGTTACCGTATGCTGCAGCACAATCCTGTTTTTTGATCTTGTTCTCTGTTTTGCTCTCAGTTCTTCGAACTTTTTTTGAATGAAATCTAGTCAAACTTCCTGGGGGATTGATCATAGGTTGCCGAGAGCTGTTTCCGTTGTTGTCAAGGTCTTGATTGCCGGTGTTGCCAGGCAGGGTTGCGGGAATGCCAACTTGCCGGACTCGCACGTGCGGCTGACATATGCTGACATCCTCCAATCGCACGGATAAATTGTAGTTTGTGTAACTTCGTAGCCCACATTATTCGCTTTTCTTTGTCATAGGCGACCCCGCCAACCCTGGCAACCTCGTGAATGCCGCATCCCCCGCAACAATCATCGGCAACCTATGACCGATCTCTATATCTCTCAAAGGATCAGCATCACCGCACGAATGGTACCAGTGTTTTGCGATCTTCAAAACACACAGTTACAAACATACAACCTTTAAAAAAGGCACCTACTTATTTAGATTACTTAGATGGCTCGTCTCACACGTCGTGCGGGTCCCAGCTTTCGACCATTCGTTACGGTTTCGTGCAATCGTCATCCATGATCGTCTTAGTACGCGCTCAGATAATTGCGGGGGGCAGAGGAATACATCTGCAGCTATGCTGCAGAGGTGTCATCGATGTTTAATTACTCAAGTTTGAGGTACTTTCTCCTAGCGGAAAGTAGCTGAGGGCTGTGCGGTCCTCCACAAAGGACCGCGCTGCCCTCAATTTTGCATATTCTCGCGGAAAGTCCGCGAGAATGCGGCCAGTGCGCCGCAACTAATCTATAGGAGAACAGCGATAGTTCTACGAGCATTCGTCTGAAAATTGGTCAACATTCCTCCAAGTCTGCAGACGGGCCGCAAGAAATCAGCGAACTATTTTTCCGGTGCCCGCCCGTCCGTAAATCGCATGGCCGCCTGCCCCCGGCGATCATCTGAGTAGATAGCCTGGCTGGAGCGTTCTAGGGGTGTGTCGAAGCAATCTCTTTTTGGATGACACTGACGGTTTTTGCCTCCTGATGACTTCAGCACGCGTTTTCAGGCAGGTGGCAACGAATCCTGAGGGTGGCTGCGTTAACTGGGCTGACTCGCAAATTCGGACTTTTTTGCTACACCCAGAAGCACCCCCTCACCACGTTGAGGCAGCAGACCATGAGGGGCTAAAAAGGGCAAAGAAAATGAAAACAAGAATTGCTTTCAAGAGGAACTACAACACATGACAAAAAAGGTGAAAAGACGTGGTTGCCAAGTTCCATGTAATACCAGCGCTTTGGCGCTGTTCGCTCAACAAAGCTTATATAACTTGTTGGTGCACGAGAGTCGATATGACGGATGATAGCATCCGTCATATTAGCCGACAAAATACAATATGAGAAAAAGGGGCGATGATGTGCACAGCATGGGTCGCTGCACACTGCAGCAGATGGTAGTGCTCGCGTTTAGGAGTGTGACTTCACTAGGCTGGCTCCGTTAGGCGATCGTATATTCGATTATTTATCGCATACAGTGTGTATCATTTCGAGGAGAATTGAAAAGAAGCTCTATATTTTTTGCGACTTTCATCTTTGCCAACCGTTGAATGGAGGAGTCCCTGCCTGCGCAAAACTACAAGATCCCCATCGCCGTCGCAGTACCACGGCGTTGAATCGCGCTAGCTAACACAGAACAAATCAATGCAATTGATTTCTTTCATCATGAAAACGATCACATGTTGCACAAGATTCCATTTTTCGAGAGGAAACAATCCTTCTTAAGAATGGCCTCATTTATGAGCATCACCCCTTCTCCAATCACAATCTTGGGGCGCAAGCATTAGAAAGTATCGCATCAGACAACGATCACTTACTTATACAGTGGTACTCGCCCCCCTAGTCGCCTGGTGGTCAAATTCGAGTTCGGGTCGGAACAGATGGTTGGCGTTAGCGCGCGGCAGATGCCGCCCTCAGTCGAAGTTCGAAGTCAATTTTCTTCATTTTCTTCGCGTTTCCTTGCTATTTCTCGCATTTCAGCAATGTCCTTTGTCACTTTCAACAATTTCTTTACCGCGTAGTTGTTACGTGCAGTAAAGAATTTGTTCCATGCTTTTTCAAAGAAAATCGGGAAAAACGATGCAGCTAGAGGTTTTCAGACGGAACAACAAACTACGAACGAGTGCAAGCCTGATGTGCAGTCAAGAAAGCACATGTTGCATGTAAATTGCTTGCAAGGCGATTATGTCCAATGCTATGCAGAAAACGTACCTCTACCTTTTGAACAGCTTCAGGTCTGAAAAAGAAAAGTTGATTGGGCAAATTCTACTGGAAATTTGTGACACAAATTACCATATTTGTGCTTACTACTAATCGAAAAAAGAGAGCTTCCATCCAGAAATCTCCAACTACAACGTTTTTTCGGGTTTACCTGGAAAGAGTGTACAAACGGGCATGATTGCATGAAACAACGATCGGCGGTGACGACACGTGAAATCTAACAAGACACATAGCTGCAATATGAGAAACTAGTTGGCAAACCCGGCTCCCCCGGCCCTGTCAATAACGTATTTGTAATCAGCATGCTCGATTACCCCCCTGTGCCAACTCCCAACCCCGTAGCTCAAATTTTGCAAAAAATCGATAAAATCGATATCGATCGATGACGAAAAGTGGCCTATGACACCCGCCGAGGCCCGAAGTGTATGTGCCAAGTTTGGTCCGGATCGGTTCAGAAATGGAATTTTCTATTCGGAACACACACACACACACACACACACACACACACACACACACACACACACACACACACACACACACACACACACACACACACACACACACACACACACACATCCAGCTTTATATATAAGATAGCAAAGAAACACGAAGGTAACGAAAAAAAAAACGGACGGAGAACTTCGCTGGGACGGCATTGCCGCAGTGACGCAACCTCTACTCCGATAATTCGACCACCGAGCAGCTAGTGGAGTGAGGATGATTATACATTTAAATGGCCCGTCCACACTTGGCCTGCGGGTCTCAACATAAAGTCTCGTTTGCCCTTGTCGCTTGTTCCGGGTCTGTCTGTTGGTCGGTGGCTTTCTTTTAAGGCCGAAAGTGGCCCGGATTGCCCTACTTCTCCCGCTGAGTTACTCCCTCAGTTTGCTCTCCATGTTCATCGAACGTCCAAGATACACGTAAGAAGACTTTCTATAATAGGTAGGGGTGCTCTTCCAATTCCGTTCCGCATCCCTTAAGACAGCGTCCCGGCAAAAAGATGGGTGCCGGGTTTTGTGGCTGATCTTGAAGTAGACCCCTGCCTAAGCAATAACTGAAGTTTGGAACGAAAAAGGGGGTCTACCAAGCCTGAAATTTGCTCCAACTGGCCCGGATTTTACGGTAGGCCCGAATGCCGCCCGCACAGCAGTTTCGAACTGCAAGGCCAGAGCGCGCATATCGCACACAGTCATGGCGCACGATCCAGCAGCGACTCTGCGTCTCTACCTTGCATGCATCTCGTGCTCGCTCGAGCCTACCGTAAGGTACGGGCCATTTTCAGGGCATATTTCAGGCTTGGTAAACCATCGTTTTTGCTCCGAACTTCTGCCATCGCTTTGTAGGAGGTCCACTTCAACATAGCCACAAAAACCCGAAACACATCTCTTTTGCCGGGACGCTGTCTTCAAGGGCTTGTTCATAAATTGAGTTTTCTTCCAGTTTATTCGCAGCCCGATTTTCCCCACTTCGTCAGTTTCCTTCAGCACCTCCTGCGCTGCAATGGTACGGCTCAAGAAGAAATCTCTGCAATGAGGGTCTTACGACTTTCACAACTTGTGAGCTTTTCTCGAAGAAGGGTCTTCCTCCCGTTTACATACAGATCCTTTCCCCCACTTCGTTTTGTTCCTTCAGCATCGCCTCTACTGCAGTGACACTGCACGAAAAAGACCGATGTTGTTCGCAAATAAAGACAGAGAATTCCTCAACAATTTGTATGCCTTTGTTCCCATTTTAGTAAATTCATCACCTGCAAAGCCGCATTAAACGGCAAGATTGCGTTGCCTTGTCGAACCTCCTGCTTGACGGTGAAGATCAAAGGGCAATGGAGTAGCTGCATTGCCGTACAGTTCTCGTAGCGGTTTCTGATGCCCTCATGAAAGTTGGAAGCACTTCATGATCGTGTATCTGGCACTGGATTTGACCTTGTCAAAGCCTTTCTCGTAGTCGACGAAAATTAGGCATTACTCGGTGTAAGATGCGGCGCGAAAATCTGGTGTGAACATTGTCCTCTGTCTCGCAGAAATTTGACGGTAAGATGATGTGGTCCTGGAGCAGTATTTGTCATTATGATTTGGATCGCAGTGCGCATCAGCATGTAGTATCTGTTGTGATACTGCTCCAGTGTGAACAGAGAGTGTCGACATGGGTGCAGATGAGCGGAAGAGGCTGGTGTGGAGATTCTGCGCGTAATCTCATCTGTCTGGAAGAAGTTGATTTTCGTTCAAAAGTGCTGCCAGCATATGAGAAGTCTCTTTTGCATTTTTCACTCTGTATAGGATACATATCATACCGTCTTTCCGTCCAATGAGACTTTGTTAGCCATTCTGTCCACCGTTTCGAACAAGTACATGCGGAGGTGATGATGAGAGCTTGCTGGCTGATTTATAGTTCGATGCTTTGAAATTTATCTCACAACCGAGAAAAATCTAGACCACTTCTGCTTAAACTCAAACTGACAAGCCTCTCTTGCACTAGTATCATCAAGCACTGGAAGCTAGTTCCTATCCGCAGGCTTGCTGTGTGGCGACTCGGTGGGCTCATGGCACCTAGATGTTGCCCGAGGCCTGATTCTCGCCCGATAACAAACGACGTACCTAGCCTACTGTGCACTAACGCGCGACCAAACAGAACATAAGGTTAATTAAGTGGTTTATCCTTATGACACTAAACTACAGTTGAAATAAATGAAAAAGAAAACTACACTAAAGCAAAAACAAATTACTACTACTACTACATTAAACACGGGACGAGGGCCCGTCCCATGCTACCGATGCGCGTCTGCAGGCATTCTCAAAAATATATGAGGCTCTCGAGGTTTCGCGCAACAAATCCGCCGCGCAACGCCAAGGCCCCTAGACGACGGCACGTCCCCTCCAGCTCCTGTAGATGATTTCCGGTTAGTACTACGGCGCGTCGAATTGCGCTAACAAAAAAGGAATTCGTTCTTCAATCCAAAGAACTTCCGGCTCAACTGCTCTTACGAAAAAGGACAGGAGCAAGGCGGCTGAAACGTAATTCGGACAAGATATTCAGAATCAGTCAATAAGACAAAGGCGAACAAGGCACCCAAATGAGGCGCCGCCGCTTTATATAGCCGCCTGGCTGGCAACGAGCCAAGAAAGGAGAGGTCCGGAAACGATCGCGGCAACACGCGTCTCGGCTGCCGAAATCGTCGCCGGATAGCGCGGTAACCGATGCCCCCGGCCATACTTCGAGGAGCGCCTTGCATCGCGAGACGCGACATGCTGATGCTTGAACAATGGTATCATAATTGAATTTTGAGGCCGCGAAATTCCGCTGTCTATATATGCTCTGATCGAGTGTACAATACCGCTCATAAGACGTGCAAGATTTTCGAAAAGGTAACGGCATTCCGGGACATCTATGTGATTGCTCAACATTTCGGCATTTGCGCGACATTCAGTGTATTCCGCGAAATCATGCGAATTACGCAAACCACAGCGATACACAGCAGATCTTCGATAATCCGTCCTCAGTGTTCTTGAATTTTTCTCGGACGTCTTTTCGCAAGGTATAACACAGTGCACATCACACATATGAAATTCCATTGAGCATTGTTGTTTTACCGAGCGCTTAGAGTAGCTGGAGGCTTTTTTCGAAAGGGCTAGAAGGGGTGGTGACTTCTGGAAAAATCTTGTCTTTTCAAATTCTACAACGCGTAACCCTGAAATACGGCGTAATCTTATAGAAAATGTAGTTTTCGTAGCCAAAATCAAATAACCCTTATGAGCTAGCTAATTGGTTCACTTGATTTTTTCTCATGTACGCTCTGAAGGTCGCCGACGATTCTGCTAAAAGTCGATGACCTTGGAGTCAAAGAAACTTAACTCACAGAGGTTTTGAATGCGCTATTTACGAAAGTCATGGTCACTGTGAAGTAATACTGGGTCATTTTGTAGAGATATGGTGAGGTAGCTATGGCGAAATCAGAAAGTTCGCAAATTTGCTTGCACTTTTCTCGTATCTGTTGGAGAACTTGCGCTTGTTTTTATGGTTAGAATTCAACAGGAACGTTCTATTATAGGATGCAATTCGCAGGCTCCAATCATTTACAATCGCCGAGTTACTAGCTTATGAATTCATGTCTCGTAGATTTTACCTAGAATTTAATGACTGCATACTTTGCAGGACTCCCCTCCTCAGTGGTCTTATAACACGCTGATTGCAAACGAGAAAAGTATAGAAACGCTTGATAGGGGTTGAGCGTCTCCACGGCAGCTCGAACGAGCTTTGTGCGCGCGGAGATACCAACGGAAAGCTGTTATCAGGAACTACATCCGCCGCAACTGTGGTTCAAATCGCGAGCATGCTTCTATCATCTTATATATAAGGCTGAATGTCTGTTTGTCTGTCTGTCCGTATGTCTGTCTGTCTGTCTGTCTGTCTGTCTGTACGTATGTTCCGAATAGAAAATTCCATTTCTGAACCGATCCGGACCAAACTTGGCACACATACACTTCGGGCCCCGGCGGGTGTCATAGGCTACTTTTCGTCATTGATCGATATCGATTTTATCGATTTTTTGCAAAATTTGAGCTACGGGGTTGGGAGTTGGCACAGGGGGGTAATCGAGCATGCTGATTACGAATAAATTATTGACAGGGCCTGGCGGAGCCGGGTAAGCCAACTAGTTGTGAATATAAATCAACCTCTCCCTCCTCCTGTGCCACTGGCCTGCAGTACAAAAAAATCTACTTATCATTCATATTGTAAAACAAGGGGAGTTACGATTTGGCAAACAGGAGGTTCAGAAAAACACTTTTTGTTTTCTACTCCACATTTTCCTGCACGTTCGTGGTATGAGTATAGGCGAAGCTTTGACTGCAAGAGGCACGACGCTTCTGATGTTCTTTATCGCACTTAAGAAAAATCACAATTTAGGAAAGTTCCAGCACGTCAAGGCGGGAATTTGCGAAACGCACATCATTTTTTATTGACCTGGTAGTTAAAGCTCATCGATCATCTGCATGCATTCAACCCAAACAGTCTTGATAATCGATCTTTGATCTCTCCACTGATCTTTTCGCAAGCAATGTCCGTATTGCTTCGGGGTAATCAGCGCGTGCACATATCGGCGGTCAATAATTTAGAATGATTTGAGGAACAAACGAGTAACTACTCTATTTTCCAGCTTATAAGTTGCATGTATTTTCATCGTTTGCGCGCTGTGCGCCAAGCTGCACATGTAGCCAATTATTATTTTTTAACCTGGTGACCTATTATCAGTGTTGTTTTCTTCTCGAGTGTGATTCATTTTGGAGGGAAAATCTCTGTCTCATCATAATTCTTTAAGAATCTGCGAAACATCAAAAGCACCATGTATCATAGAATTTGAAAGAAAACGCAGCTTCCACACCAGTTACTTCATCAAAATAAAAGAAAGCACCGTTAATTCCATAATTTTCATTGACGAAAGAAAATACGGGAAGAACCTTTATTGAACCTTCAGTTGGCTTGGTTTGAAAAACTGTTTTGAAAGGCGTTTTCGCGATTTTGTTACCTGCGACGGTGCGAGTCGTACAAGGTGTGACTTATAAAGACAAAGAACAGGGTATTTGCACTGTTCGAAGTCGCTTTGCAATGGGAAGAATCAGTCGAAGTCATATTGCTAGGAAAGGATTGCCTAATTTTAGCTTTTTATTGCAACATCCTGGCAGTCACATTTTTGCAAATGTCTTGCCAGGTTCAAATTTATTTCAGAGACGTATGCAAACTAACTTCTACCCGCATCAAATCATTTAAGGAGCTTGGCGCGTCGATGTAACGATGCTGGTCACGTATCAACTACTGCAAATGTACAGCAGCCAACAGCTGCACAATGTGATGCTGCAGTACGTTCCGCCTATAGCTTGCTTTGGTGAGTTATATTAACTCTGTATTCAAATATGCTACCTATTGAATACAGATGCTGGGAACAAAACTAAGCACTGTGTGGAAATTAAAAGAAAATGTTATGTTCCGTGTCCTACCTGCAAAGATGTTTGTGCGAGAAATGATACCGAGGAAAGAGTAAGTTTTTATGACCTAACTAGCTAAGATGCCCGGCTTCGCTTGCAACGTGAGGTTTGACTGGCACATAAAGAGCAAAACTGTTGCGACCCCAAAGGCTTAACTTACAGTGTTTCGGCTTTTTCTGCTTCTTGTGTAAGTGGGCTTTCCGACCGCAACGTTTTGGGTTACCGCGTTTCCTTCTTCGTCAAATAAGAATGAGTTTATACTGCTAATGTTTACGTGAAAATTGGAAGTGGTATTATAGTAACTGATAAAGTTCATTTTTCTTCAAAATCGATAAATCAATAGGAGTGCGAATCCGACTGCGGAATGTAGCTTATGAGATGACCGGTGTCGAAAACAGTATGTGAAGTTTCGTGCTGATCGGTCAAGAAAAAAAATTTCCATAACGAACACACTAACTAACAATTTACCAACACTCATTTTTATGTGTATAGAATGCACATGACGCATCGTTACATTAGTTAACTCCGAATCTAAACAATGGGCTTGAAAGCTTGCTCGCTCAAAAATTTTCAAACAGTCACTCGGATGCCTTTTGACAGCAACAATCTTACCAGCATAGCACGACATTGAGGTCAAAGCATCCAGAACCGACTACTTCGTACCAACTACACGCTTCCCTTCCTTGAAGCTAGTGAGACTTGTGCCATACTATGATTGTTGATCCAGCTAGCATCATATATAACCTGTTCAAATAAACGGGGGGAGGGGGATGAGGTGAATGGCTAAGACCATGCGTACCACAGAGGCTACTTCCATATCACTCCATCTTTCTCTCTCTCTATCTCGAACTCTCTTACTAATACTCGGTAGTTACTGAAGTTAGCCAAAGGGCTAAGATAGTTGTGACAGTGACACTATTACGCAAGCATGAAAGCGTCGGCCTTCAATGTATTAGGTTGGCACATAAGTAATGCAACTTTTTATATAACTTTTGTCTATTTGAACATAGCGCATTCATTTTTCGGAAATTCAAGGAATATGATGTAAGCTTCTAATGCACACATTTTTGCCGAATTTTACCATCTTATGTGAGGATTACGGTAGGTTTACGGTACTATGGGAAATCTTTTAGAATGCATCAGATTTTGCTGAAACTTGGCCTATAGGGCTTATTTGACATGCTGATCACAAAAATGAGATCCGTTTCGCATGAAAAGGCCTCGTTCGTGAGATCAAAAGATGAATTTCATTTTAGCGACAAATGAATATGATATTCGTGTTTGCCGCATAGGATTACCCTATAGTGCAAAGTTATAGCGAATTTTGACCTTTCGCAGCTTAGTTATTGACAAATTGCCTTCAAAACTTGACGCATTTGACTTGTTCAACTTTTCAAAGGCGCCCCACCTTAATTTGTGTTGTGTTTGTGTGTTAAAAGTGTTTAAATTTCATTTCTTTTTCACTGATTCCAATGTGCCAACTTCCAGCTACATGCGGCCTATAATTGCTTTTTCATATGTTTGAATCAGGTTTCATAGGGCTTCATGTTTGCCAAAAAATCGTGAAACTTCGATTTTCAGCAGTTTTCAAAAAATGCTTAGATTTTTTGTACTACGTTATCAAAAATCAAACGGTTTGCGCAGACTTGCAGCTTACATCACGATCTACAAGATGCCACAAAATGAGATTGCTGCATAAAATAGGAAAAAAATTACGGGAAAAGTTGCAAAACTTATGTGCCAACCTAATACAAAATGTGAGTCACTTCTCACTGGTTAGGTATTTGGTTTATGACAATTGATTAGCTATAAGTTGCCGGGTAGCCATCATCGGAATTGGCCATTTTTTTAGTGGGTAGGGGGCAGTGGTGTACCGAGGGGCGAGGGGGCACCCCCCCCCCGAGAATGGGTCGCGAAATTTTTGAAAGTGACTTACATGAGTTATAAAAATATGCAAGTGACTAGTGCAAGCAAACACATGACTTATTTGTACTTATAAATAATTGAAATATTTTTTAAATTTTCTTAAAATTTCATTTTAGCCCTATAAACTTTTTTTTCGAGGCGTGGCTAAACCCCTTTTCTAAAATTTCGGGTGGGCCCATAAAAATTTTAGGAAGCATACCGAAAATTTTTCAGGGTGCTTGGCTGACTGCTGGGTAGGGGAATGACTATACATCGCCGATCTCGATCCCGCGTAGACGGCTAGTACAAATTTTTAATTTCTGTCGAAAGTGGAGCTTCGTGCTTTGTCGCAAACTTGCCTAGGAGCACCCTTTCCGGAAATGTAGTCTTACACCCCCTTTAAATTGGTCCTGGTCCGGCATATGCTTTCGTACCTTTCGTTTTGGCACAAAGGGAAAAGGGGAAAAGAGAAAAAGGGGAAAATCTTATCAGTTCAAGATCTTATTGCCACTTTTGAAAAACTAATGATTTCAAACCTTCAATCATTTGCTTCCGCACAGAGCACGCACGAGGGTAAAGTCAGCAAACAAATGATTCTTTGACATTATAATTGCTGTTTCCGTTTATATTTAGACACTCTCAGGTGGAAATTTTTAACATAGAAATGCCTTACCTTGAGATAGGGAAAACTGAAAATTATAGTCCAAGGTTTTGTGAAAGGCGGTATCTCCAGTAACGAAAGAGTAAATTGCAACAGGTAGGGAAGGAATTGACCGTAAATCTACGGGTACCTTCATACTGCGCCGGCAGCCGCCGCTAGCCGCTTTTATTCACGGTGCGTCACCTGTGCTTCGCAGAGGCTAGTAAAAAGAGTTCCCGGGCACTTTCGGAAATTTCATTTTCAAACGCATTTTTTCGGAGCTCGGTCGGACTTTGACACTAAGTTTTTTTTATACTGTTCAGTAGAGGGAAGCCTAAAGTTTCTAATACGGGTTCTGATTTTTATCGATGCCAAGACGTGTTTTATCTGCGTAATTGAGAAAAAAATTTTTCCAACCATAAAAATTTCACGATTTTTCTTCCTACACCCATTTTTTGTGCAGTTCAAAAAATTTCGATCTGATTGAGAAGCCTGTTGACTTCTGACCCGCACCTGCTCTCGAGTTTTGCTATTTGCGCTCAGAAATTACAAGCTATCGAACTTGCCTCTGACTGCAACTCTTCCCGCAGCTGGCGCCGCTTCTGCGGGAATCATTACATCTGAATAATGGGTCCAAAAGATGTGTAAGGCATTACCACAACAATGTTCGCAGTAATCAAATATTTGGTCCACTAAGCAGAACGACAAGACTGAAAAGCACTTACTTGAAAAATGGTGCATTTTTAGGGGCAAAAAATGATCCATTTTTCAAACCTACTGGAAAAGCTTTTTTTGCATGTGTTCGCTCAAAGGCTTAAATAGTCTCCATAACAACTCCAACACACTTCTGCATCTCTGCAGCATTGCTCTCCAGCTTTCGTCGTGCCTGAGATAATCCTGCACAAATGGGCCACTTTTCGCGACGACCTTTTTCCATTTGCGCATGCTGGTGGACCGCAGTGAGGTAGGAAAAGTCTGCAAAACAAGTACATGTTGTGGACAAAATTGTCTTTGCAACGAAGTTTGTAGCTTCAAAAAAGAATCAATCTGCTTGAAGTTACAGCGATTTGAAAATTTTTTCGCAAGTGTCCGGGGACTTTCCGAGTACTATTCATATGCCTTCCTCGTAGTCGAAAAATGATGGCTTTGAAGCTTACCACGCGATGCTGATTATCACGAATGAATCGTAAACAACTACTCATTCAAAAGCTCTTTCATATAAGATCGGTGACTTTTTGTGGAAGAAAGTATTCTCCAAAAGATTAAATGCGAGTTTGATTCAGTTATTGGAGTTATAACGGCCTGATAGTCGCTATAAGGATGACGACAACCATAAGTTACATCTCTTAGCAGAAATTTTCTTAAATTCTTAGGTAAAACCTTGACAAATCGATCATTCATGCAATTATCCCGGTTTGGAGCCGATGTGGTGTAGAAGTAGACTATATGCTCATTTTTCGGCGTGAAGTCTATGATTTGCGGATTTACTTGTTGAACAAATCCAGACTTTGGAGAAAGCATAATTACAGATTCCACTTTGGAGAGCCAAAGGTCGCGCGGATCCGCTTGACGCACAGTTTTCACCGGTTCCACTTGTCAGATTGGCTTGTTGTCATTATATTGCTGGTTATCCTATTGGTGCTCAATTTCCCCATTGCAGTTGATAAATAGTTCGTCGAAGTTTCTTGGCGGTGTGATTCCATTTTCTGAATTTTGATGGGTCCCATTTCTGCAGATGTGCTATTTGTTTTTTTTTGGATAAGATGTTATGTAAAAGACCATGCAGCAAAAATCTATGTCAAAGGTGAAACAAGCAAGGCACGCAAGAAAAATTTCAAGCGCAGACAAGTTTGGAGGATTTCTAATGGCAGACAATCGTTTGAGACGAGACAAATTGCAAAAGTGATATGAGGCCACCGATAGGATATGCAGTGTACGGTAACAAGATGATACCATTGGATACAAGTATGATATATGAGATCGAACCGCATATTGAGAAAGGAAAAAGCGCGGAAGATGGAAAGCGTGGGCTGGTGCACTCAAAGTGGTAAGAATCTGATGATTTTGCGCTCCTATGTCAACAAGAGCGGCCAGCAGCGGCTATGAGCTGCCGGCGGCTGCTAGCGGCGACTGCCGGCGCAGTATGAAGGCACCCTGAGGCCTAGAGCAAAATCCAGGGTGGAGGGCTATATGTCGCCAAATTTGGAAGAGTCCCACGCGGATTCCCTGCAGGAACGCATCCGCGCATTAACAAGGGCGCGTATTTGTCGCAAATGACCGCGGGGACCGCCCTTTTTCGGCGACATATAGTCCTCCACCCCAAAATCCACGCAATTTCACCGCCTTGCGATCCTCCCGATAGGACAACAGTTACGAGTCCATTGCATGCCGATCGCTGTTGATGATATCCGTGTCATCAACCAATGGACTCTATATTCTACATCGCCTGCGGAATCTTCGTAGGCTAAATTGTGAATCACTCACCCTTGAGTATCTAATCACTAAAGAGTGAGTGGTACCTATGCGCCAGGAGTGTAGCCAATCGGCGGCACCTCCTTTCAAACAACTCGTATACATTGTACCTTGCACTTGGTTTTGCTCCGCCTTTCTTTGCTATAAAAGGGGCCTTGGATTGTACTAGAGGTTGCTCCTCGGTCCACACCGGGACACCTCGATCTCTTCACGAATAATCTACGCCCGAGCGAATAAATCTATATTCCACAAACTCGTCTACCCCTAATCACTCGGTACACACCAAAACTACCCTGCATTTCTTAGTCGTGTCGGCTATCACAACCGAAATGCAAGATGATCGGCATGCAATGGGCTAGTAACTGCTGTCTTCTTGGGAGAATCGGCAATGAAATGGCGTGAATCTCTGCCTGAGGCCTAACGTATGCGCTGTAATCCTCGAGGAAACACCTGTTGAGAGTATCATAGACTGGCGATGGCCAGTCACTAATATTGACGACGGCAATTTGGATAGCTATCTATCGCTGGTATCTTTTTACTTGTGCAATTGATACTTATGCATTGTGTAGTCGCCGAATAGATCGTCAGTCGTCAATGTCGGCGATCGCTAGTCGCTATTACTAGTGATCGTCAGTCGCCAATATTGGCCACTATGCCATACCTATCGATCGCTAACATATCACGGGTTCAATCAATACGCATCCAACATGGAGTCGCCAACATTGGCGATAGGGTTGCAGATAGTAGCGAGTGGCGGCTCCGATAGTAGTAACTGGCAATCGCTAAGGGACTGTTCAGACCGCGCCGGTATACGTCCGAATCCGTCCAAGCCTGAATGCCAGAACCGCCAAAGCGCCTATGCGTCGAGCTACGCGTGACTAAGATATAGGCGATTCATAGCACGCAAAGACTGCGGACATATCGGCGTCTTCGTGATCGCTCTTTCGTTCCTCTTATCGTCTGCTGTCTCTCCTATGCACAAACTATCTTCGTCGGACGCAACGGCGCCCAGTCTTTGCGTGTCATGAATCGACGATAGATATATGCAGCACGCGCGCAGTATTGCAGCGTGCTTCAATATGCCAATCTGCACGCATATCTGGTGCGCTTTGGTAGTTCGGCGTTCAGGCGGGTTCGGGCGGATTCGGACGTATTTGGGCGGATTTGGATGTGCACCGGCGCGGTCTGAACGATCCCTAAATGCGGCTACTACACATTTATACGCATCGATTGAATGTGGCGACATGTTAGCTCAGTTTTTATGTAAACTGCACTCAGCTTTAGCAATGGATGATCACCAGTCGTAACCGGCAATTGCCCCTCGCTTTCCTCAACTCCCTAATATCGGCAACGAATATTGCCAATTCTATCCCGTGTTCAATGCGCATCGACCGAAGGGGTGTCCTATCCTCAGGGTATCTAGCACCTGCCTCACTAGGTAAAATCTTATTCGACTGAAAGAGTACTTTCTTTTTGAAAAGATCGGTAGGTACAACGATCTTTCTGGAACGATTGTCCACAATTTCCCTTCCTAGCATTTCGTTATTTACGTAATAATTACGAAAGCCTTTAACCCTCTCCCCTTCCTTTCCCAAATTCTCGTCTTTCTATAAATGATGAGGTATGTTATTGGAATAGAACAAAGAGGAGCAGTGACATTTTATCAGTTTGTACAATGATGACCATTGGCAAGATAAAGCTTCGTAATTGTTATCATTTCGTTAAAATTTTTGGAGAGTTTATCGTATGAGCCATTTTCGAATTTCTATTGTGCCATAGTGTTTTGGAAAGTGGCCTACAGGTTTCAGTATTATGAGGGTACTAGGGTGACTAGGGTAACCCTTTCGAGTAACCTGAAGGTTACTCGAGGAGAATATTGTAGATTAGGAACCAAAATCCTAGAAATTTACTATTGATTGATCTGCAGCATTGAGAAAATTCTAACAGTCAGTGCTTCACAACTTCATGATAACAAGGACTGTATTCAGAAAAAGTGCATAGAAGAAAATGATGTGGTGTACTATTGGTCTCCTATGATGGAATATAAACTAGGATGCACGGATATAGCATTTCCACAATAGTAAGCTTTGGTCATTTTCATTAGTAAAAAGGAGACTTACCATTAACTGACGTTCTTCCTATCTAAATGAAAATGAAAGTAGAAGCAGAAAATTGGGAAATTGTCTGCTTAACACGTTTACGACAAGGGCGATTTTTCAATTACTGCCTTTCAGACCAGATTCTTCTTCGCTTTGTCGAACTCATGACCCACTCGTGGGTCGTATTATTCAAGATGGTAGTATGGTAGTCTTTTTGGAAAATATCGCAAACATGTAAGAATTTCCGAGGGGTTATCGAAGGCGCTGATTGTCGAAATTTGCGTACGGTAATCGTTCTGCACGAACTTTAGGAATTAAAATTCAAGAAATTGATGCAAAAAGGCGGTAGCAGGACTGGGACTTTCATTTCCGTAATCAGCCTATATATGCAAGATTTGAGCTTTCTGGGATGAGTAATGCATACAATCAATGAAGTCAATAAAGTCAATAATATTTTGACGTCAATCTAACATCAGTCTCTTGCCCTGCTCATAGTTGTCCTGCAAGTACACTTAATTTTTCGGAAACAGCTCATTTTGCGAAGAATCTGAGCTGAAGTCTGTGTCTTATCTTTCGGTATACCTACTGTAACATCACATTACAGTATCCGCCCGGACTACTCTGGCTGGAGCTTCGCCTAGGTGCCTCCAATTACTACGGTATACCTACTGTAACATCACATTACAGTATCCGCCCGGACTACTCTGGCTGGAGCTTCGCCTAGGTGCCTCCAATTACTACGGTATACCTACTGTAACATCACATTACAGTATCCGCCCGGACTACTCCGGCTGGAGCTTCGCCTAGGTGCCTCCAATTATGTGCCGAAACCCCGTAAAATTCCATTGTAAACTGGCAAAAGTAGAACTTCAGAAATTTTACGATCCACCGGTGGAACATGTACGACCCACCTGAGAGTTGTATTGTCGTGGATTTATAAATGTTCAGATTCTCAGGATAAATGCCCTAGCCGGGAAGGGGAAGGGGGAGCTGATTATGAGAAGGGAGTCGCCATATCTCACTGCTTCAATGTCTGAGTTCTTCTTTGTCTATCTAAATTATAAAAGTTCTAACATTCTGGTGTCCGAGCACAGTGGAAGACAGAATAGTGCAAGCTAATCGTTGGTTGGCTTGATCAACATTTTTGCACAATTTTAGCAACAGGGCTGGGAGTTAGCGCAGGGTATAAGGGTGGGGAAGTTGGTGCAAGATGAGAAGTTTGAGTGATGAAGTCTCTCGTGCTATTTTGACATGGACCGAGTAAAGCGGTGACTTTTGGTGAGTACGGAATGAAATGTAGACGAGCCGGATGTTTTATCCTCCGTTTGAGAGAAAGGGTGGCATATCCTGAGCTTGGAATACAGACCTTTGAGTAATCTTGGCAGTAGTAGCGAATCATCAATCCAAGTCACTACTCATCTATGACTGTACGTGCTTTTCTAATCGTTCAGTGTTTCGCCCGCAGAAGACCAATATTACGGAGCGTTGGTTGGAAACATGTTCGTAGGAGCTTTAGCTGATCGCTTTGGAAGACGTCTGGTTTTATTATGTTGCTTATGTGCTGGTGTTCCAATAATGGTCCTATCAGGCATGTTTGAAACTAACTTATAACAAGTCCAACTATCTGTATTTAGGGCTCCTAAAGGGTTGGTATTATTTCTATATCTGTCGTTTTCTTCTTGGAGTAACTATAGCTGGTAAGTTTCTACTGATTTGGAAACACTATTGAGATCATCTGTTTTTTGAAGCACCTTCCACCAAGACCAGGGCCGGCTACCTAGACTTCCTTTTCGGTCGGAGGCAGTATAACATCTGCTTGCGTTTACATTCACATAAAAATACGTTCTCTTCAGTAATGGGTCCTACATGATTGGCACCCCAAAACGTTATTTTTGAAGCGTGCGTAATCCAGAAGTAAGGCTCTAAAAAACAAAGTGGGGCTTGTCGTCAACAATGTTGCACAGAGTTTGGTCTAAATGTGCACTGTATTAAATCATGACTTTGATAAGCCGTTAACCTGTCTGTTCGTGGATGATCTGAAATGAAAATACAATGAGGATTGGTTTATAATGCTTTAACCGTTTGTGAAAAAAAAGAAAATTTACATCGTTTACTCTTGCCCCATCAAAATTTAAATTTCATTGCGTAAGTTAATACGTTCTATAAAAACCGCGAGCCTCTACGAAGAAGAGTTGATGCACTGTTATGTTATAGTTCGTATAAAAAACACTATTGTACATGTGCATGGATCTCAGCCGATTTGCAGATGTTTGGTCTAGTTTAAAAAAGAAGGTCATATTCCTTTTGATAGTGCTTGAGGTACCTCTTGATAAAAGCAAGCTTTGTAGATCGAAGCCCGAGACGAAAAGCACTCAAATTTGTTTTTCCTGTGTTTGTTAGTAAAAAGTCTGAAAGCAGTAACGGAGCAGTCAATAATATAGGTTTCTTGCTCTTTCTTTTGACTAAGCAAAGTATGTGCTAATTAAATGTTTCTGCAAAGCTGTGTACAGACAATACAAAAACGCAAATTTGATTTTTTATCTTTATCTTTATCTTTACACTCAAGGTGTACCATTTAAAATATGAAAACTGTTAGCGTAGGGCCAGTCGTCCTAGACATTCGAAGAACAACAAAGAAACCTCGTACTTCAATGAGTTAAGCAAAAGAAGGTACGGGATAGTGTACCCACAACAACGAAAAAAGATGCATTCAAATGCGAGTAAATTGTGCGACTATGAAATGGAATGCCAGGTGAATAGCAGTGGGGACTGCTATCGCTCAAGGATAATCGGAGCGGTTCAAGCGAGGGTATTGGTTTAGCTAGGTATCCACCAACCTAACTCTCCAAGCCTTGAACAGACCTGACAAATATCAAGTAGAAATGTTTTTGATTAAAAAGATTCTCAATCCAAAAGAATTAATATAGAGTAGGACGAAGTGACCAATCCATAAATAAGCGGTTAGTAACAAAAGAAACGTAACACAATAGCAAAACACTGCCATAATCTATCACAAGTAAGAGAAACTGCTATATCCTCCGACACTAAAGAGCCAAAGCATCGAGCGAGTCCACAATAGGAGAAGAACGTAGCCATGACCATTAGAAAACGACAAGAACGAAACTGAAAACACATTTTCTTGGTGTCTTTCGCGAAAATCGTGACTTTTTGTAGGAACAGTTAGTCAGCACAGATTTTGCTCATTTAGAAGAAACAATGCAAGAAACTCATGAGTGATAGATTTATCGCAAGTTTCAGTTTTTCTATAACCAATCACAGGATTCAAAATGTGAGCAATTTTATTCTACCGCTTTTACCTACGCGGATGCGCATTGGGACGCGCTACATGCTATTACAAAGCTCATAATTTCTTCTTGCAAGTGAGATTAAATGCACGGAAAACTACTGCATGCTAGGGTAAAATCGAAGTATTTCTTCTTGGCCTTCACACCAGCAAAGATTTGTGTCGTCAGTATACAGAGAGTATTAACGAGATACGGCGAAGTTTAACGTCTTATAAAGGCAGTCCCCCAGCTTGAGCGTGCGAGACCGTTGACAGGCTTGCAATTTTTGACCAAAAAGTCTTCTTAGGAAGTCGTTTAACAAATATAGGAAGATCTTTGTACAGCATACCATCCCGCACCGATTCGCGCCTATCCCTTCCAAGTGTCTGTTTGTAAAAGTAACTGCCTCCATTATTGACGAGGAAGGTCATTACACTTTTGCACCGTAACATTGCTGATGAAAATCTTATTAAACGTAGATCAAAGGCGGATCATAGTCCAGAATTTGCGGTAAAGGCCAGATGCATTGTGAATAAGCTCGTACGATCAATAGACTAGCAATCGAGAGGAATCTCATACTAAGAATGGAAACATTTGCTTGATGTTAGAGAAACAGCCGATATATCGACTCAAATCTGCATAGGTCTTTGTGTGCATTTACGGAGATTCATTGCGCCAATATCTAAGCCAAATTGAGTGGAGAAGAACACATCGTATGCCATGATCCATCTTTTGTTTAGGTACAATGGCGGTTGGATTTTGTTTCTGTGCTGAGTTAATCTCTACCAAACATCGCTTCAAACTTCGAACATTCTGCAGCTGGGTAAGAATTATGCGTCAACATTTTAAAAATGATAAGTGTAAGATTTAGACCAACGGTCGTCTACTCATGGTATTGTTAGCGCATATAGCTGGCAGCTTTCGCCCTGCTGCATTTGCCCATGCAGCTGCAGGCTTGATTCCCTTGTTCCTTATACTTGCTCTTCCCGAACCTCCCATATGGCTCAAAAGAAGGGTTAGAGTTTGTTGTTGACAGATGTCTACCCTAATCAACTGTATAAGCCTTTGCAGGAGAAATTTGAAAAAATGAAAGAAGCAGAAGCGTACCTAAATCGGATTAAAGGTGTAGAAGTGAGAGAAGGTAGCTGATTTGAACCTGAAGATTGTCAAGTGGCAGTGTGACTCACAAGGGGCCGCAAAGTAAAGTGGTTGATTAACACAAGAATTATAGATAGCGATAATGTTAATTAGCTTCCAAATACCTCGCAAATCATTTCGGAGGCCCCTCACCCCCGCCAAAAAATTGGTCGCGAAATATTCGAAAGTCACTTACGCAAGTCGTAAAAATGTGCTAACGACTTGTTCATATTTGTGAATGTTTAAAATGATTACTGAAGTTTTTAAAAATTTATCCTTGCAAAAATCTTTTCGGGGGCGCCTACAGCCGCCTCACCCCTCCCAGGGGAATTTTTTTTTCCGTAAAATAACATTTTTCAAGAATTTTTTTTGTTTTTGCATTCCATACGAGATTAGAGTCTGCCGAAAGTAACATATGGATTGGTGTGTAAGGATAAGGATACTTTACAGATTTTTTGGGCTATGTAGCTGCTTCGCGATTTTCTAACACCGAACTCAAAGTCGCAAAAGCGAAATGCCATTTTTGAAAGCTTCGTTATTGGTGGATGTCTCATAGAATGCCAAGCTTGTACATTTGTTATGAAGCGCGACCTTCGTTTACTTTTGAGATACCGAAACTCCAATTATACTTTTGAAAAATTTATTTAATTTTGTTTGAATTACGCAAGAACTTTCGCGCCAAGCTAATGTACAAGGCATCTCGAAAGTAAGTGCACATTTTTTAATCGTTAATAACTCTATTACCAGAAAGTCTTTTTCTTAGCTTTAAGTAACATTCACTAGAGCGGCCTTCAGCTTAGATTTGCCGTATGGAGCGAATCACCCATCGCTCTTAGTTCTAAAGATTTATGGTGGAAACCTTCAGCTACAACATCATTGTGACTAGCCGTGTTTGAATTTCGAAATAATCTGCAAAGCTGTGTATCAAAGCTGTACGTGCTGTGATTTCATCATTCAACTTCTCACGAGCTTGGGAGCTTTTTATAAGGTGTAATTGCAGTTTCAATTGGCACTGTAAGTGCAGCCATCGTTTACATCCCATAACATGAACCATTAAAGTCAAAAGCCCACATTTAGCCTCAGCGGCTCTGAATAGCAACTGGGGCCTCAAGGTCTTAAGCCTTACTGATTTTCGTAGCTACAATAGATTATAGCAATAAACAGCGATGGATAATTCGCTCCATACTATAAATCTAAAGCGAAGCTTGCTCCAGTGAATGGTACTCGGCCTAAGCAAAAGACTTTGTAGGAAGAGAGTTATTAGCTCGCACTGGTTCCTCTATCTGTATGCCTTACACATTCCCGCAATAATGACATTGAAACTCACCGCGCCTATGCAGACTATCATGAATGCTTCGTAAACAATTACTCATTTCTAAAACTTTTTCATGTGAGATCGGTAATCTCCCGTAATGAAACTTTTCCCAGAAGAACAAATGCAAATTTAAGTCGGTTTTTGGACTTTTCATGGCTTGGTAGTCGCCTTGAGGACAGTGATCACCGTGGGTCACATCTCTTTGCAAAAATGTTCACAAATCAGGTAAACTCTTGGCAGATTAAAGCTTACGCAATCAGTTCTTTTTGGCGCCACCTTCGTAGAGTAATAAACTTTTGTTCACTTTTTTGGGCTAAAGTCCATGGCTTGCACATTAGCTTGTCAACCGTACTCATGACTTTGCAAAAAGTGCTGCTACATGCACAGTTTTGCTTGCCAGAAGTTAAGTGGATCCGTTCGAAACGCAATTTTTGAGGAATCCGTTGAACGGATCCGCTCGTGCTTTAGCATATTGAACTTTTATGATGGGTAGCATACCTCATGCAAAATTTGGGCTCAGGACACTGGCTGCAGCACGCTCTACGAATTTCGTAATGGAACAGACACACACACAGACAAAAAGACGTAAACAACCCTTAGCCCGTTATTATAAGTCATGATAAAAAGTGTGTGTGTGTGTGTGTGTGTGTGTGTGTGTGTGTGTGTGTGTGTGTGTGTGTGTGTGTGTGTGTGTGTGTGTTGGTTCTGGCCCAAATTTCTAGCTTTAAGATTGAGGACTTCGGGAGGCCCGATATCTGCATATCTGCGCTCTATAAACTATTTTTTGGGATCTGCAGAACGGATGCTAGGTAGGGCGGAATTTTTGCGTAGGACAATTTGCGGGACTCTGCTTCAAAGCAACATGGATAAAAAATACTCGCATTTGCATACCAAAAAAGTCTGGCAGATAAGAAAGGCAGGACTGCAGTATTTCAGCCGCTTCGTGTCAATAAACATTGGTAATCGGCCGCTTCTATTTTGCGATCTTTGTCAGTCACTAAGGCGACTTGGTTAAAAAAAGACTCATTGTCGAATTAGCAGTTTTTAGAGGGTGGAGCGGATGAAGCGTCGACTCAAAAACAGGATAGAGTTTCATATATTCAAGCTCTGCGAGATAAAGAGCTACGGATAAACGTGTTTGTCCTCGTCGTAATGTAAGTGTTGCTTTCTTCAACAGAAATAATGGGAGCTAAAAAGCACAAAGAGCTATGACGCTGTAGCTGTGTAATCGATGTCACAATTTCATCTCGGATGATTGGCCAGGTCCACATAGTGATGACAGGCTTTACTTAAACTGGCTTCTTGCCAACTGCGATGGTGTGAACCCATATCTGCAACAGCTTTACCTCTTTCTGTATTGTAAAGTTCGTTGAAGACGCCAAAATAGCGCCCATTAAAAATTCATGACCATTAAAGTTTTGCAACGCCTCCAGACTTAACGGGCGACCTATTTTAACCTACAGTTTGTGAAAATTGGGAAGGTAGCAAAACCGTACTTTCATGGTGCAAGCTCCAGCTGTGTCTAGGCTTTCGAAAGTTGAAACATACACACGGTTTTCACCTCACTAGTGACGTACAGACCGAGGGATGCGACCCAACTTCTCGGTAACAGTGATTGTAGCGATTTCGGTTTTTTTCCATAGAACATCTGAATATCTTTCTAAGGTAAATTTTTTGGAGGTTGTTGTGTATTAGCTAAATATCGAGTGTATTGTCTGATAAAGATCAAGCATGCCTTCACTGCTGCTCTATCATATGCTTACATTGATGATGCTTCTCACAGTTTGAGATGATGGACAGGCCCAAGACGGCGGTTTTCGCACATTTATGAGCCATCACTGGGTTTACGAAGAAGGAAGCCATTGAGCAATCCGAAACCATTCAAGATACGCGATCGAGGAGCGTGTGCGGCGCGTGGCCGGAGCACAAAAGCAAGAGTATCAATTGATGCAGGACATTTTTTGACTACGTTCTCCGGAGGGCGTGCAGGATCTTCGAAAGACCCGCCGCTTCTTCTCCAGGCGCGCCCTTGGGAGGCAGTACCCTTCGCGCCTTTCTCGCTCTTATGTCGCACTCGTCTCGCACATTCCTGTGATGTTCCTCTTCGGACAAGCGTTTTGATCCTCCTGGCATTAATCAGGAAAGGTCACTGCTTGAACGAGGATTTTCAATAAAAGAGGAAGGTGTGGAACTCTCAGCATTTAACAAACGGAAGTGAGACACTCGGTCACCTTTCGAGATGAATTAGAGAGGTTGTTGTTTTTGTAGTCGGAAAGGTCACCGCAACAAAGATTCGTCAGTCGTTGAGTTCGAGCTGTCAACAAGAAGAATAAAAATAAGCTGACTGACAGACAACTATAAAGTTGGCATAAGTTTCGCAACAAATTTCGCTACTTCTTTTTTGCTACGACGCATTCATCTTTGGATATATTAGGTCGTTTCATAAGTTCGTAGACTTTTTATTTTTGTCGCCGTTTTTCGATGAAGCGGTTCGTTTACGGCAAAGTACCTATACCATTGAAAAGAGAAAATCTTGCTCTACAAGAACTGTTGTTCGTTTTTGGAGCAAACTTGAATCCCCTTCTTTTACGACTTATCAAAGCAAAATTTTTTGAGAGGCAAAAATTGGCGATTGCGGCAACTGCACTTTCCGCATTTGGTCCGTATTCCGCAAGATGTTTCTGTCATAGGTAGGCGGGATGGATAGTAGCAAGCAAGACTGAAACACTGACAAATTTGCAGCATGCCAATATGCATAGAACCGTTTGAACAAGGTCCCAATGGTTTTGTTGTCTTTGACTGCTGCCGCTTGAGTTTGGCGGGTTGTTCAGCGACACAATGTGTCGGTCCTCCTATCGGAACTTGAGGAACGGATGCGTTCTTCTAAGTGGTGTAGATGTATGAGTACAAGCTCTGACCAACATTTTACGCTTTCTCAAAAAAATTTTTTGACGTGGGAACTTTTTAAAATTGTGCCAAACGCAAAACATCTACACACATGGTAAACGTGCGCTTAATCTTTCTTTATAGCCTCTCTTTGGATATGGAGACTACTTTTATATGCGCCGTAGTACCACAAACAGTTGTTCCTCATCACTCATAACAACTTCAGACGAAAAATTCCCACTTGTGGCTCCGTATACGGATCGAAAGTTGCAGTTGCCGCAATCGCCAATTTTTGCCTCTCAAAAAATTTTGCTTTGATAAGTCGTAAAAGAAGGGGATTCAAGTTTGCTCCAAAAACGAACAACAGTTCTTGTAGAGCAAGATTTTCTCTTTTCAATGGTATAGGTACTTTGCCGTAAACGAACCGCTTCATCGAAAAACGGCGACAAAAATAAAAAGTCTACGAACTTATGAAACGACCTAATATTATAGACCAGTTCAAAGCGCCCCTTTGCGGCGCTTTGAACTGGTTGTGCGTGTGGAGTGAGAAGTGTTCAAAGGCTAGAACTTGTGAAGTTTTGTCTTCAAATATTTTCGTAGCCAAAAGTATAGCATAGAAACTTTCAGGTACGTGTAGAGAGTAGTAGTAAGTTACTTTCTAGCTCTCTAGCTCTTCAACAACTCAAATAGCTCCACGCCACATGCTACCTTAGCTTCACTACAATCTTCTCAACTCGGATTAAGTGCCACTAAATGCTTGAATCCACTCCAGGGCTTTTATATCCGTGTCATAGTACCTTCCTCTCCCTCTCTTCCCCACCCCTACCCTCGTCCCACACCCCCCCCCCCCCTCCCCGGCCCCTCCCCAGCCCCCCGCACCCTACTGGTACAGAACACAAACCCCATGTAGCATAATGCCTTTCAGGCACGCAAAATTTTTATGTAGAAAGCATTGAAGAGTGGTAAGTTAGCCCCTAGCTCTTTAGCTCATAAGACTCCAACAGTCCTTAATTGACTTGAACTCAAATAGCTGCACGCCACATGCTGCGTTAGCTTCATCAAAATCCTCTCAATGCTAGAATTTTTCCGGAAGCGTGCCACTAACTTGCTTGACTCCACTCCAGGCTTTTTCTGTTCATGCCAAGTACATTCCTCCCTCCCTCCCCCTCCCCCTACCTCCCCTCTCCCCAGCTTCCTGCACCCTACTGGTACAGAACAACGTGAGTATCACATTCATGTGTGCAATTTTCCTGCGTTTGAAGTTTTGAGCGGATTTTGCTGTTCTCTTTCCCTGCCCCCATCCTCTTCCCCATTAGTTACCTACCTACGGAGAGTAGAGGGGGAAGATTACGAACGAAATAATTAAACAGTTTCCAATAGAGTTTTCTAGAAGAAAAACTTATTATCTTCTAAAACTTTTTCTAAGTAGAAACTCTTTGAACATTTCTGCAATTATTGTCCTACTTTTCGGGTTCTCCTTCTGCTGACGCTGCCATCACAATGCGTAACCTCAAAGTTGCTTATCGAAAATATGCCTACGCTTTTCTTCAAAATTCAGCTTTTTATACAGTACCACACAGAATTTGCTAAGGTGCAGGCTATTCCACTCTACCAAAAGCTCCACCTGCGGTAGTTCCTTATGATGAGAGACCGCATTTCCCTCTTCTTCCCTCTCAAATCGCACCTACTGCTCAAACATACCAAGTTTTCGAACAAAGTTCGACTTCTACTATTGGGATTCTACGCTTAACCTCAAAGTCAATAAGTAAAATTCCATCCTACCCCGTCTCCTTTCCTCAGACTCTTTATGTAAGTGCTTACGATTTAACTTCCATTCACGAAACTTCATCTACCATATTTCAATTTTTCCCCATTTTCCTTCCTTGAAGGCCTTTCTAGCCTGTCACACTCCCTTTAGTTACAATGCGGCCAGAATCCCACTATTTTGCTCACACTATGAAATGTTAAACAAATACTAAAGATACGGCTGTTGGTGTATCAAAATCGAGAACTTTCATGAGGGAAAATTACATCTGGGATTTCTGCTGCACCACTTGCAACTTTGTAAAGCAAAGCTTTTGTACAATTAAGTTATAGAAATTGGCAACTAAAATAAACTGATACCAAAGTTGACACATCCTAATGCGCTAATTGAAATGAAGCGAGCTGTTACTTGGTGACAATAATGCTAATCGATAATACTGTTTATGGATTTGAGCACGAAAGGGCGTTCCGTCAACATCTCGGAAGGCAGACATCCTGGGTGCATTGGGTGCATTCGAGACATAGCGACAAACGCATGAGTCACACGGTCCCCCTGCGCTTTATTATAGAGTATGATTAGGAGTATATAAATGTGCTCACAAGGGATTGGTCAGAAATCGAAGTGACCGTTTCAGACATGCTGCGTACCGATAGATGCAGCATGAAGCGCTGACTTAAAATCTGTTTTCCTTACCTGCTTATCGCTTCTCTGGACGAAGCTATAAGCCATTAAAGATCATTATTTTGTTTAGAAATTATGCGTGAATTTGAAAATTTAGCCGTACAGAGCCACGTTCGCCTCAATGTTGGGCCAAAACATGCAGCTAGCTTACTTAAAATTTTAGAAGCCAAAATCTGAGCCAAAAGTGCAAGAATGTGCTCAATTTCGCTGTTTCTATGTATGATTTTTTTACAATAAAATTGCTTGTAGCTTCGTCCACAGAAGCGGGAAGCAGATAAGGAAGACAGATTCGAAATCAGCGTTTTATACTGCATCGAATAATATACAGCTTCTTTGGTTTAGCCACTTCGATTTCTGACCATTCCCTTGTCAAACGGTTTGATTTTTGGTAACGAAATGGAGAAAACTAAGGCATTTTTTGGAAGATGTCAAAGAGGAAATTTCGGATCGGAACTCGAAAAAAGACATTCTCAGTACGAATCGAACGCATCAAACCTAAACTAGATCACTAGAGACTGCTCTATAAACAATCTCGATACAGTTTGGCTCGATGTGTCCGATTTTGATTGAAAACGGCTGTATTTTTGATTTTCCGACCCTTAAAAATTATAAATATTAAAAATTATTAAATTCACAAAATCGTAATGGCTGGGTCAAGACTTCAGCACACTGTGATTGGACAGCTTTGTCTGGGGATATCTGATAACCTCCATTCTAATTTTGCATGAGCTATCGAGCGCGCGCTGCATAGCCGGTACTATGTATCGCAATGTCGTAAACTCCTTTTTACGTCATTGATATTTGCACGTAGAATGGCGTAATGCACATGAATATTTTAATTGCTCAAGGCATCAATGACATTTTCAGTCTCGGCCGATCAAAAGCTTTCTTTGATGTTGAAGGTAAAGAGCAGCATCTCCTACTCTCCAATTCAACGAGCCGTGGCACCTGTGTATATGATCAAATCGATAGTATTGATTCTTATTTAAAGCCCTCTTTAGCCGTCACCATCTCTTTTCATTCTGTCGTAAAAACCCTATTTGGACCATAGACAGTAGGCGGATGAGACAGAGTAGCCAATGTGGTAGGGTTCTCCTCCTTGTTCAGCAATGCTATATTGTTAGTTTTTCATTGGCCTTGAAACTTGCCTTCCCTTGGATACGCATTGCTGGAGCGTAAGAACGGAAGCAGAGCTAGGTGCCTTATTCAAAATTATTGTTGAAATTGATTGTACGATTTCCCATTTTGGAAATATTTAAGTTGATTTTGACTTTGTCGAAATTGGATGTTGTACAATACATGACAAAAAATCAGTCACTAGTTCAGAAGACTTTGCGGCATATGATGACCGTGGGAGAAAACAGGTAGAAGCTGTGATTACGCTCATCTTGAAACAGTCCGTCTGTGCTGTGACGTATGTGCTTATTGAAACTCTGGCATAGAAAGAGTTGCAGCTACTATATGGAGGAAGAAGAAAGGCGGCACTTATGCCTTGAACAACTACAAGGCTCGCTATTCAACAAAATTGAATACAAAATTGAAAAGGCAATATACGCTCATTAGTATCTACGTAAATCACTTTCAAACCCTTCCCCCCTCCCCCCCCCCCCCCCCCCTCCATCCGCAATCTCTTTCAAATAAGAGTTGACTTGAATGCAATTTACAGTCAAGGTAGATGTGGATAATGTTATCAAACCCTTATGATTCAACGTTGAACCTTTAGGTGGTTCACTGCTGGTTTGAGCACTTATAGCGTTGATTTGAATGGTGCTGACATGACAACAAACATGTGGCTTGGGCAATATTTAAATTCAGGAATTGCTTCAATATGCCGTGTCGTAAGTGATATGTTTAGATTGAGCTTTAAATGTGTAAGTTGACTAACCCAACTTCACTTGATTTTAGATTGTCGGCTTTGCCGATCTGAAATTTAAATGGCTCGGACGTCGATTGGTATACATTATATCCATGAGTATAGCTATACTCGCTGCCATCGCATTGATTCTTTTGCTTCTTTTCTTTGGTAGAGACATCAAGGTATTATATGTACAACCTACACATATACCTGAGCCTTCAACTGTAACTATTAGAAAAACGTCATATATCTCATCGCTTATCTCATTGCTTATAATTCTCTTGCCGTTCATTGGGAACCATGTTATATGGGTGCAGCAGAACTAATTCCAACAGAAGTTCGTGCGACGAATACAGCGATACTGAATATTGTCACACGTGTGGGGAATATCCTTGCAGGAAGAGGGGTTTGTTCAAACACATGCTATAATTTCAAAACAGCAGGAGCTGAAGCTGTCTAGGTTGCCCTACTGAAAGGCGGTGATCATGAATACATGATCTCAGTAATTGTTCTAATTTCAAATCTAATCAGTTTTGTAACAACTGTAGCACTCTTGAAAGTGAGTTTTATGTTTGCGCTCTATTCGCCATTAAGAATCACGCTTTTTTTAGGAGACGAAGGGTATCAGTTTGGATAAAGTAGGACGATCACCGTTAGTATAGCGGTTTGTCTTTTACAAAGAAGTTGATCATTTGCCTTTCAGACAAAAACCGAAGACGCCCTCGGTGAAGGAACAGAGCATTCAAGGAAGCAAAGAAAGCAAGCCATTATTAAGTACTGAAAGTAAAACCAAGGAGGGAGAAAGTAAAAGCAAAGAAGGTTTGGAAGGGATGGGAAGTAAAGTTGACGAAGCCAAGGGAGATGTTTCAAAACCTGCGTCAAAGGAAGGCGCGGAAGAGCTTCCAAAAAGGGAAAGTGCAGAGAAACCGCCAGTAGATGAAGGATCAAAGGAACCTGAAAAAGAATCGGCGGACAAACCGGCTGGGGATGAAGAATCAAAAGAGCCTGCAAAAGAGGACAGACCCCCTGAGGCTGAAGGTAGGAAGGAGCCTGCAAAGAAGGGCGAAGAAGAGAAAGGGGACGAAAACAAAGACAGCGAATGAGGCGCCGTACATTAAAAAATCCTTCTAGGGGTAAACAGATTGTAGATTGACTCCGTTACAGAATGAATAAAGATTCGTCACCATGTTATCTAGCTCTTGAATGTTTGCTTGAGAGACACGTTATCAATTTTGTCATGATACTTAAAGTTTTAGCAGATTCTGAGTGTAGGACTCGCAAAGTATGCCTACCACCGTTACCTAATCACAGAACAGTTGTAAGAACACAACACAGTATTATAGGACTTGTTCTCGATATAAATTCTGGAAGGGTGGCCGTATTTATTCGAGCGAATAGCATGACCAGTAAAGCTTATCTTACAACTTCAGATGTAGGGCAAACACAGAGAAAGGCTTTTAAGTTGAGATCTTCCCAGATTTGATGCTTCCTTGGAAAGTACAAAAAGCTGATTTTTGTAGGTGTTATAGGCAGAATGCTTCCGTGCAAACGTTTAAAAAAATTTTGAAGCAAATTTTCCAAATGCCCAGAGAGTTGATGACATTTAGGAGGGTTTTTTTTGATCTTCTATTTTCGGCTATCAAGGCATTTTATACATCAATGTTATATGATATGTGGTATGCATCCATCACAAAGTCAGTACATCGCTTTTTATCAGATGATATAACTCAGATATAAAATTTTGCAAATCTGGCAGCATCTTTCACTGATGTGATGGATTAGATCACAATTATTATTAGTTCGCTCAACCGGCAAAATTACCGGACTAGGGCCGCATGCACTAACATCTCCGCGGGGAGGGGACCGCAGCTTAAAAGAAAGCTTTATATTTCGAAACTCCAGATACCTGGATTTCACGTTGTGTACCTATCCGTAAATAATTCCTATTACCCTTCACTATGAACATGTTGAACAGGAGCGAGAAGCTGTACGAACTGCATTTTCCAGTTTTTGTATAATCCCTGATGATCCCCGGCGCTTTTCTTTAGAGTCATTTTTCTTTCTCCAAAGTTAACGAAAAACCTCCAAAGTTGTGCAGATTATCTAACCCGACAGTGCTAAGCATGTTGCTGATAAGAACAAATGATGTTCTGAAATCATGAAATTTTCGATAATCCACAGGTCGAAATTTGAGGTTTACCGAAAAATTCGACTTTCCAAAAACTCACTTGTTCACATCAGCAACATACTTAGCACTGTTGTGTTAGATGTCAGTACAACTTTGATAGGTTTTATTTGACTTCGGAGAAAGAAAAATGACTTCAAAGAAAAGCATCGGGGATCATCAGGGATCACACAGAAGCTGGAAAATGCAGTTCGTACAGCTTTTCGCTCCTGTTCAACATATATAGTGAAGGGTAGTAGGAATACTTACGGATAGGTACACAACGTGAAATCCAGGTATCTGGAGTTTCGAAATATAAAGCTTTCTTTTAAACTGCGATCCTCTCGCCAGAGGGGAGGTAGTGCATGCGGCCCTGTGAATGAACGAGTTTCGAGATGTATCGGTGTTTATCAAGCATGGCTAATTACTTGACATGGACCCAGCCAAAAAATAGATTTAACCGAAGCTAGTATGAAACAGCAGAGTACCAATAACAAAATTATTGATGCTTGCACAAATATTTAATTGTGTCTGTTTCGGCGACAACCGAAATTTCCATCAGTCTATTGATTTCGGCGATTTCGCCTTGAGAGTCTCGGATGACAAATTGAGAGCTTCAATGAACTTATTCATTCCAAAGAGCCAAGGCATCAGATGTAGAACGCAAACTTATTTGAATTCGTACAGCAATCACTGTTTTTTTTTGAAGAGGTAAAGAAAGTCAAGTTTTGTTCTTCAACTTGCGCACAACTAACAAATATAACCCTTGATTCATCTGCTCAGATAACCGCCGGGGGCAGGCGGCCATGCGAATTTTGAGCAAGCGCGCACCGGAAAAATAGTTCGTTGATTATTTGCGGCCCGCTTGCAGAAATATGGAAGAAAGTTGGCAAAATTAAAGACGAATGCTTGAAGAACAATCGCGGTTTCTTTATGGACTAGCTGCGGCGCAGTGGCCGCATTCTCGCGGACTTTCCGCGAGAATATGCAAAAATTTCGAGGGCCGCACGTTCCTTTGTGGAGGACCGCGCAACCCCCAGGTACTTTCCGCTGAAAGAAAGTACCTCAAACTTGAGTAATTAAACCAACGGTGACACCTCTGCCACACAGAGTCTTACCTGCGCTCGACGTACGCCCGAAAATACCTAAAAAGAGTCCGAGCGCTTGCTGAAAGTTTGGCCAGCGCTCGCTAGAAGATATTATTTGACGAGCGCTCGCAGAAAATTCTGTATTGCTGCCCGCTGGCAGAACGCGGAAGTACCGCCCGCTGAAGGTTTGGCCACGCCCCAAAATTCTGCTGACCGCCTGCAGAAAAGCGCGAGTTTGCGGACCGCCTGCCCCCGGCGATTATCTGAGTGGTTTGGCTCCTGGAAGGCGGATCTTTACGAAGTAATTAAGGCTGCTCGCGCCCGCGACGCACCTGCGTCTCTCTCGCGCGAGTGCTCTCTGATCACTGGCTAGCCTTAATTAGGTCACGGAGCCCCCTTCCCGAAGCCAAGGCAGTTGAATCAAATGTTACATAAGTCGAATCATTTCATGTGATCATGTGTGTCACTGCACTTATAGTCCACCTTTTACGTCCTCATTGTGGATTTAAGGAATAGATGGTGTTCTGCTAAATGTTTCTGATGCCTTCACCTTTTTTCTTTTTAGGTACCACTCTTCACAAATTGATGTAAGCGATAACGATCGGTCGCTCTCTTGCATTTTTGCGATTGAATTTCAGGATGGGGACGCCAAAGTGAACAGTGTATGCACTCAGATAACCGCCGGGGGCAGGCGGCCATGCGAATTTTGAGCAAGCGCGCACCGGAAAAATAGTTCGTTGATTTTTCGCGGCCCGCTTGCGGAAATTTGGAAGAAAGTTGGCAAAATTAAAGACGAATGCTTGAAAAACAATCGCGGTTTCTTTATGAATTAGCTGCGGCGCAGTGGCCGCATTCTCGCGGACTTTCCGCGAGAATATGCAAAAATTTCGAGGGCCGCACGGTCCTTTGTGGAGGACCGCTCAACCCTCAGGTACTTTCTGCTGAGAGAAAGTACCTCAAACTTGAGTAACTAAACCAACGGTGACACCTCTGCCACACAGAGTCTTAACTGCGCTCGACGTACGCCCGAAAATGCCTAAAAAGAGTCCGAGCGCTTGCTGAAAATTTGGCCAGCGCTCGCTGAAAGAAATTATTTGCGGAGCGCTTGCAGGAAATTTTGTATTGCTGCCCGCTGGCAGAAGACGAGAGTACCGCCCGCTGAAGGTTTGGCCACGCCCCAAAATTCTGCTGACCGCCTGCAGAAAAGCGCGAGTTTGCGGACCGCCTGCCCCCGGCGATTATCTGAGCAGTGACACACATCATAAGAAATGATTCGACTGTACGAGTACTTACGGTAATGTCCTAGCCTAAGCAATAGATAGTCAGTTTCGGCGTATTAACACATTCATGACAATACGACTCATTGGTGGGTCGTGAAATTCCTGAATCTCTAACTTTGCCATACGACGGAGTTCCACAGCATTCTGGCGCATGATTGGAGACATCTAGGCGAACTCCAGCGAGAGTGGTCTGGAGCTCCGAGTGTAATATTACGGTAGGTATACCATAGATAGAGATAAGGCACAGAGTTTAGCTCAAATTTTTCGCAAAATGATTCTATTTTCAAAACTTCAAGTACCTGCACAAGAAATAGGGGGCGGGCAAGAGACTGAGTCATCCCATCACAAACTTATCGATTTTGTTTTATTGATTGTTTGCATTGTTCATCCCAGGAAGCTCAAATCTTACACAAATGCCCTTTGCTTCAACCAGATCGGCGGTTGGAAGGCGGGCCTCCGTGGCCTAATTAAGGCTAGAAAATGATTAGAGAGTATGTTCGCGAGGGAAGCGCAGACTGCATCGAGGACGCGAGCAGTCGTCTCCTAGGTCATGAAGCCCCGTCTTTACAGCAGCTAATCTGGGCGGCAATACCGCCCCTGGTTGAAGCAAAGTGTAGGTTCCGTAGCCCCTGGTTGAAGCAAAGTGTAGGTTCCGTAGCATGTTCACTACGAAAATGATAGTCTCAACTTCTATTGATCCTTCTTACATCAGTTTCTTAATTTTTACGAAGATAACATCCTAATGCTATCGTACTCATTGTGAGACAGTAGTAAATAAAGTGGATATTATAATTGTAAGCAACACCTAGAATATCCCCAAACAATTCTTCATAAAAATCCATGATGTTCTGTTAGTTTAAAACCACTACCATAACAAAAACGGAAAGAACTAGTAAGAAAAAGACTACCATTTCGGACAGTACGATACACGAGTGGGTCGTAAGCTTCACAAAGCGAAAAAGACTCTGGACCGAAACGGTAGTAACCGAAAAAATCGGCTTTGTTGTAAATTTGGTGACACATTTTTTGGAATGTAAGGACTTTTATACAACGACGCTAATAAGCTATTCATTGGAAATGATATAAGGCATCCTAGCATTTGAACATTTTCCATTCTATTTGCAGACTTCGCGAGAATGTAAGCTAATGCAGGATACGTTAACATACGCCACCCCCCCCCCCCTCCCCCACTACCGCATGCGGCATCGCGGCGTCGCGTGTCCGTCCTGTGCTGAGCACGAACGAGCTTACCAGCGCACGCGTACGCCTCCATTACCGCCTTCGTTTGGGACTATCCTCTACCTTCTCTTGACATCTCAACCATTTTTTAAGATTATTTTGCAGAAGAAAAAACAGTGGACCATTTTTGGTAAAGGACTTAAGAACGAACACACACATGTGCTTATTTGGTGAGTTAACTTTTTGGATATTTTCCTTTCGAGATAACTGCATAAAAATAGGCTTGATAAAAAAACGTTCAATTCGTCCCATAAAATTTTTCATTGAAAAGCGGTGTGAAGTCTTGGTGGGGACTACCTCGTTGGAGCGTATTGCCGCAGAAAGAGCCGCGGCTACAGTCACCCAGCGCGGCGGCCGTTTTGCCAAGTACGCCGTCCCCCCCCAGGGTCAAGCGTGTTGATGCGATCCGGTACCCTCATTTACGACCCCCCTTAAAAATACCCATCCGTACGACCCCTCCCCCTTTCCCGCCCCCCTCCCTCCATCTATCTCCCTTACCTCCCCTGCCCACATTCCTCGCGGTAACCTGCATAAACGAATGTCAATCTCAAAAAACACCTGCGTGAGAACTTTAGTAAGGTTTCGGAAGCAGAATTTCTAAACCAATGTTTGCGCCCAGCATCTTTAGCACACATACACACCTTCAATAATGTTTGAGATTCTGCAAGTTTTTTTTTGAATTTTCAGGCATACTTCAGTTCAGCAAATTTGATTCCCGTATGCGACACAAATTTTTGCAAGGGGAAAAAATGACATTCTTGAACTACAAAAGATGTTTCCGACTAAGAAGCTTAATTCCTACCTTCTCCACAGTTTTTCCTGCTAAAAAACCGCTTTAGCGCCGTTCAGAACGACGTCAAAAATGTGCATGAGCACGAGAGTTTGAAAATTCGTAACTAAGACCAGTAAAAGACTTAGAGGCTGCAAAGCACAGGCTCTGTAGCATAGTGCAAACTATCATAGAAAAAGTTTCAACCCTTGAAGCAGTAAGCTCGATGAAATTTAGATGCGACTCTCGCAAATTCAGATGCAATCTCAAGAAGCAAAAATTGGGATTTTTGACCTCAAAATTTTCTAACTTACCAGAGAAGTGATAAAACAGCCTGCAATTTTTATGAGGGAAAGTAGGAGGATGGCCTCATATTACAGCAAAATTGCAGCCAACAAGCTTCGATGGCTCCGAAGAAATTTAGATGCGACCCAGATACGACCCTCCTTTCCTGATTTTTTGCTACCATACATAAAATCATAAGAAAATCCACAGTTTACAAAATAAGACCAGATTTCGCGCAGTAATAGCAGGGCTTATCCAAAGTACATATAAAATGTAAGAGCCGTATAAATGGCATTACAAAAAGATTAACGAATTATCGATTGTCACAATTGATCTAGATGTGCGCTTTTGTTGAGTGTGTGGGACTTCAGGAAGGCTTCAGAAGCAAGATTTCCAGGCAATCGATGCATTTAGCATTTTTATCAAATTATACACCCTTCAAAAATGTTTTGAGCTTTTGTAAATGTTTTTATTTGAGAAGTTCTACAGATTTTATTATTTTTTTTAAATTTATACTTTTTTATAAATTTATTGTAAAGAACATAACTAATTATCTGCTTTTTGATTCCCTTTTAAGCTTAGGGTATTTTAGCTTAACTACCTCTTACGACCCCCCCCCCCACCTTAGCTCTCTTTTTTATGACCCCCGTTGCGACAGTCGCATCACAGGCTCGACCCTGCCCCCTCTCCTCTTTTTTTTCGCGCGTCGTGGTCGGGTACGCTTTCCATGTGCGACATATCAGAATTAGACTGCACGTAGCGTCTTTATCTTTTTTTAGCTCGACAATGATTGATAGATCAATCAACAGCAGCTGAGAAACAACTTCATATGTCTGCATATCGATACATAAGACTCATATCTTGTGGTTTTCTTGGTAGCGGTTCGACAGTGATCTTGGGGCAACATCCACAGCAGATTACTGTTAACAGCATAGCTCTCCTGAAAACACAGATTTTGTGATTACAGTTGCTGCGAAAACATTGCTTGTAGGGTCGAAGCGTGGATTCGTCTAGGTACCTGTAAGGAGGCAAAAACGCGACTGTAATAACCGTCATCCACAACGGGCGATGGAAATGGAAGATAAATTCAAGCATCTCGCAAACCGTTTGTACTTTCATAGTAGTGACACCAGGATTACCCGAAAATGCAATCAGCCATGCGAAAGCATTGACTAGAATGATTTGCAATTTGTTGAATATAATTACAAAACTATTAGGTCTTACTCACCTAAGAAAGGTAATAGTGCTATATAAGGAAGAATGAGATAGACGAGCGTCCAGGCTAGTCGACTCCGAGCGTCTCGTAACTGCATATCAGTAGAGTTTGCATGTGTGTATGGAAGAACACGGCACAGCAGCAGAAAAGACTAAAATATCAAAATTAAGAGTTTTTTATGTGACTCAAAGCATGAATAGCTACGGGTATCACTGCATAACCGATGCTGGTTGGTACAGCCTATATGTTCATTTCAATGAAGGGGAGTTGGAAGATTGGGGTAGCGCGTGAGATAGCCATTTCCCTTAATTGACCCTTCATAGAAATCAAAGCTTACGCCTAAGGGCCGCATGCACTAACATCCCCGCGGAGAGGGGATCGCAGCTTAAAAGAAAGCTTTATATTTCGAAACTCCAGATACCTGGATTTCACGTTGTGTGCCTATTCGTAAGTATTCCTACTGCCCTTCACTACGAACATGTTGAGGAGGAGCGAGAAGCTGTACGAACTGCATTTCCCAGCTTTTGTATGAGCCCTGATGATCCCCGGCGCTTTTCTTTAAAGTCATTTTTCTTTCTCCGAAGTTAACGAATAAGTTGTGCAGATTATCTAACCCGACAGTGCTAAGCATGTTGCTGATAAGAACAAATGATGTTTTGAAGTCATGGAATTTTCGATGTTCCACAGGTCGAAATTTGAGGTTTACCGAAAAATTTGACTTTTCAAAAACTCATTTGTTCACATTAGCAACATGCTTAGCACTGTTGTGTTAGATGCTCAGTACAACTTTGGAAGGTTTTCGTTAACTTCGGAGAAAGAAAAATGACTTTAAAGAAAAGCGCCGGGGATCATCAGGGATCATACAAAAGCTGGGAAATGCGGTTCGTACAGTTTCTCGCTCCTCTTCAACATGTTCATAGCGAAGTGTAGTAGGAATACTTACGAATAGGTACACAACGTGAAATCTTATCTGGAGTTTCGAAATATAAAGCTTTTTTTAAAGCTGCGATCCCCTCCCCAGCGGGGAGGTTAGTGTATAAAGCTGAATGTCTGTTTGTATGTCTGCATGTCTGTATGTATGTCTGTCTGTCTGTCTGTACGTATGTTCCGAATAGAAAATTCCATTTCTGAACCGATCCGGACCAAACTTGGCACACATACACTTCGGGTCCGGCGGGTGTCATAGGCTACTTTTCGTATCGATCGATGCCGATTTTATCGATTTTTTGCAAAATTTGAGCTACGGGGCTGGGAGTTGGCACAGGGGGGTAAGTGAGCATGGGGATTCCGAATACAATATTAGTTTTTAAAATCGTGCATTACTTTTATCGATTTTATCGATTTTTTGTATAGTTTGAGCTACGGGACTGGGAGTTTGCATAGGGGGGTAATCGAGCATGGAAATTCCGAATACAATATTGGTTTTTGAGATCGTCGCCTACTTTTATCGATTTTATCGATTTTTTGCAAAGTTTGAGCTACGGGGTTGGGAGTTGGCACGGGGTAATCGAGCATGCTAATTACGAATACGATATTAGTTTTTGGAATTATCCGCTACATTTATCGGTTTTATCGATTTTTTTTTTGCAAAGTTTGAGCTACGGGGCTGGGAGTTGGCACAGGGGAGTAATCGAGCATGCTGATTACTAAAACAGCGGGGATAGTGATTTGGCATGTAGGCGTGGGCACAGGGGAAGTTTCTTACAGGAGTAGGGATAGTGTTCTTTGACATAGTGTTTTGACAGGGCCGGGCGGAGCCGGGTAAGCCAGCTAGTAGGCCATATGCAGTGTCATCTCTGCTGGGGAAAAGAACGCACCAAAAAAAGCTTCAGTTCCTGAGGTTCTAAACATCTAAATTTCTCGCTGTATATCCATCCGCAAGTGTTCCTATTACTTTTCGCTGCATAATAAAGAGGAACGAAAAATTGTAGAGCAGCATTTACCAGCTTCTTGCGTGTCCCCTAGGCGATCTTTTGCTGGCAATAGTCTTATCTTCGAAGTCATTTTTCTTTCTCCGAAACTAGTGAAAACATTCCAAATTTTATGGACGTTCTAATCCAACAATGCTAAACATGTTTTTATAAGTTATTTTCGAAGAAAGAGAAATGACTCTTGAGAAACGATGGCCGACCGCCTGGGATCATTAGAGCCCCATGCAAAAAGGTGGAAAATGCGGCTTATACAACTTCTGAATCTTGCTCAATGTGGCTGCCCTCCCCTCTCCAGCGGCGATTTTAAAGGCAGCGGCTCGGCAGATTCTCGACTTGGAGTTTTTTTTGCTTATCTGGGGTAATTCGAATCGCTGATTTCGAAAATTCATCTTAAAGAGCGCGAAAATGGCAAAAGCCACTATTTCTCAAGGCCTCCCATTTTGAATTTGGACGAGTGGAGCGTGTCCCGCCATGATTAAAGAGGCGGAATCGTTGCGGGACGCTCGCAGTTTCGTTGCGGCATGCCTTCTCCGACGGGTCAGGGAGAATCGCAAGCTCATCCGTTAGAATGTCTTGCGCGTAACAGGGTTTCCTAGGCAAGGGCAGCATGCTGTGCGCTCGGACCTACTCTGTTCTCATGTTTGGGGTGCAGGCAACCTTCCACGTCAAAATGTCTGGATGTTTAGTTCTGGCGAGCTGGTGCCTTTAATGCACGCGACCCAGTCACAGCGGATAGGAGTAAAGGTAAGGTATTCTTAGGGATATTAATAACGTACTTTGTCGATGAATTGTCATGTTAGCGAGCCATGCATAGAAGTAGAGAAAACGTACTGGAACAGAAGCACAGTGGATGTTATAACTCTCAGCAATGCCTCAGAAGAATTATTTCAAAAGTAGCTGTATAATTTAGTGAAATTTCGAGGTTTTTTTCCAATTATTGACGAGTAGAACTCGCGCAATCTTTCTGACTTATGCAGACCACTCAAAAAATTTCACAGCCCATTCTCAGTGGGAGCGCTTTTCCCCAGCACATTCCTCTCACTCGTTTCGCCACTGCTTCAGAAGATTTCAAAAGGTATCTAGAGAACTAATGGATTCTGGATTCCAACGGTGTCAAATTTTTCACCATTCTAGTTTTCTGTTAGTTGAGTAGACTATTATCGTCTTGCAATGGAATCTCCAAAATTTACTGCAAGCGCTTCCTTTGGTCATAACTCACCATGAAAATTTGTACGGTGAGTATGGTAAAGCATACAATCATCACAACTCGTGAAGCAATTGATAGTATCCGCAGTGTAGTATTAGCTGTTGCATCGGTTACATAGTATAGCACACTAAGAAAGAACGGAAGCACTTGTACGACCAAGCAAATAGTGCTGAAATAGAAATTTTCACTCAAAGGAAAAATCACAATGATGGATGTTGTTTTGGTACTTTTCCGGATAACGGAAAAGTACCAAAACAACATCCAATCATCATTTTTTTTTCAAAATGTCCTCAAATCCGTGCTTCAGGCTTTATTTATAGATCTTATGAGGGCTGTCTCCCTGCCACATGCCAAGATAAAAATTTACACGTTCGGGTTCCGTTTGACATGTTCTTTAAAGTCCTTTCCGGTAAGGTAGAGAGCATTTGAAATGACTCGACAGCTGTTCAGGAATCTTTCATAGCAGCGAAACAGTTTCACACGTTTACTAAAACGCCTCGGTAGCTTTCAGCAATGATTTGAAGAAATCCTGCTTTTCGCATTGTTTCCGCCATGCTAATTTAGTTGGAAAAGAATATAAATGATGGCTTGATGTATTTGGCTGCCAATTGTTTCGTCGTTTATATGACAGAGCAATAACCCATTTATCTGTTTTAAAAAAATCTAATGTGTTTATCAAACACAGAATTTCATTTCCAAAATATCAGCTCATCCATGAAACTGTTGGCTAAGAATTGGGTCATTATTGAATAAAAAACAAATTGAACTTATCATCCATTCTATGACTAGTAGACGCTGACCGCATTGCGGACATGGTCTTAACATGTTTGAATTTGTTCTTCTCTGTTTACGAAGAGTGAACCTGGACGAGATAAATGACAAGTATGAACCTGCTAAGTACACGATTAAATTGTTTAGACAATGGGGGGGGGGGACTTTTCACACGATCAGGAACTTTGCACCTAGCCTTCGCACCTACCTCACACCTACATCGCACCTCTCCATCCACGTAATGAGTGAGATTCTCCACTACGCCTAAGTGAGGGGGGGGGAGGGGGACTTTTCATACGAACACTCCCCGATCACTTTGACCTTCTAGCGGTATGCTAGAGTGCTGGTAATAAGACCAGTTATCGATTACCTAGGATGGACTAGAATGAAACGTTTATTATCAAAAATGCGTAAAGTAAAGAATATCTTGATTTTATCTTATATATAAAGCTGAATGTCTGTTTGTCTGTCTGTCTGTCTGTCTGTCTGTATGTCTGTATGTCTGTCTGTACGTATGTTCCGAATAGAAAATTCCATTTCTGAACCGATCCGGACCAAACTTGGCACACATACCCTACGGGCCCCGGCGGGTGTCATAGGCTACTTTTCGTCATCGATCGATATCGATTTTATCGATTTTTATCGATTTTTTTGCTGAGTTCACCTACGGGGCTGGGAGTTGGCACAGGGGGGTAATCGAGCATGGGGATTCCGAATACAATATTGGTTTTCAGGATTATCGATTACTTTTATCGATTTTATCGATTTTTTTGCAAAGTTTGAGCTACGGGGCTGGGAGTTCGCACAGGGGGGTAATCGAGCATGGGGATTCCGAATACAATATTGGTTTTCGGGATTATCGATTACTTTTATCGATTTTATCGATTTTTTTGCAAAGTTTGAGCTAGGGGGCTGGGAGTTGGCACAGGGGGGTAATCGAGCATGCTGATCATCCCCAAGGGGGTGATCAGCATGCTCGCTTACACTTCCGTGCCAAATTCCAGCCCCCTAGCTCAAATTTTCAAAAAATCGATAAAAATCGATAAAAGTAATGGACGATCTTGAAAACTAGCATTGTATTCGTAATCTGCATGCTCGATCACCCCCCTGTGCAAACTCCCAGCCCCGCAGGTCAAACTTTACAAAAAAAATCGATAAAATCGATAAAAGTAATGGACGATCCTGAAAACTAATATTGTATTCGTAATCTGCATGCTCGATTACCCCCCTGTGCAAGCTCCCAGCTTCGCAGGTCAAACTTTGCAAAAAAATCGATAAAATCAATAAAAGTAATCGATAATTCTGAAAACTAATATTGTATTCGGAATCCCCATGCTCACTTCCCCCCCTGTGCCAACTCCTAGCCCTGTAGGTGAACTCTGCAAAAAAATCGATAAAAATCGGTAAAATCGACATCGATCGATAACGAAAAGTGGACTGTGACACCCGCCGGGGTCCGAAGTGTATGTGTGCCAAGTTTGGTCCGGATACGGCGGAGCCGGGTAAGCCAGCTAGTCTGTTGTATAAAGCTTACTTCAAACGTTACTTCAAACATCTAGTAAGCCAATAAACTTTGTCCGGTACTTTTCGAATTTTCCCATAACTTGAAACTGGAGTTTTAAGTTGATGACACCCAGGAAAATCGCGCCCCATGACCGTCTCCCTCTCCAGTAACCCCTATGTGAAGAGTAGCACTTCCAGGTCATACTGAAGGCTCGGAGAGGCATGTGACAATACTCAAATCAGTTCAAAACGTTTGTAAAAGAAAAACCGAATTATGCCGACTTAATTACTGAAAAGTTCGTGTGGAACGATTATGATGTTATTTTTCACAGCAAAACACTTTTTAAATTCACACAGCATTCAAGTTTTCATTTTATCCATATTTGCGGTACTGCAAAAGCTAATCTTGTTTTGTTTTTAGGAATGGAGCCCGCGGGCCCAAACTTGGCATGGTGCCAATTTTTACTGGATCTTTGCCAAAAGATGATATGGGGGCATTCGTATGAAAAGTCCCCCTCCCCCCCCCTTCTACAGTATACTAACAGGGAGGTGCGAGACTTCACACTAAGCCGTAGGTGTTCACATCTCGCACCTCGGAATTGCTCATCGTATGAAAAGTCACTCACCCAGACAATGTGTGCAATGCGGTCTCGCGTCTCCTAATCATAGAATGAATGGTACATTATAAAACAGGCAAACTCTTTGAAATCTGTGAACATATAGGTGACATGTCAATTTCTTTTGACATGTGGAGAAGGTTGACTCTCCACCCTGTGAAATTTTTACGAAGTCTAGTACAAGGAAAGAAGTAATATCGTTTTTTTTTTAAAAATAGGTCGGGATAAGGGAAGTACGTTGTTTTTATTTACAACAGATTCTGGTACAGTTTCCCTGTTTGGAATTATGGGACCGATATGAAGTTTGACTGTCGCTCTGTCAAATTTATTAACCAATATTTTTCATTCTGAATCATCATTGGTCAGAATTGCAGCAGAAGGCAGGACTCGGAAAACACCAAGTTTTATTTGTCTGTTTCCCCAAAGTATAGAATAAAAGAACGTCAATTAACTTACTTTATTGGAAAAGCACTGAGAATTTCCTCTTTCTGATAAGCTAGTCTACAACAGTATAGCAACAGAATTAGTTGGATTAGCACATTGTAGTGTACATAATCGTAAATCACATAGAGAAAACTATATGTCCATTCCAGAAAAGTGCTGAAATATACTTTTTTTAAAATTTAAATCGTTTTTTGTTTATTGTTCACTTACACAGCAATATATGTATACTGCTCCTCAGTTGCTGAAAACTGATTCAAATAGGCAACTACCTCACAATAGATGTTGAAAATTTCACAGAATGTCATTGGAATAAATATGGCCATTGTTATGGTCCGCATAAAATCTTTCTCCATCTGAAAAAAATTGTAGTTAGGCAAAACATATAATGAAGAATATTTTATGTTGTACCTTCAAACCAAGTAAGAGAATTATGATGGCTAAGGTGAATCGTCCAAATAACAGAAATAACAGAAAGATTTGGAGCGGAGTGAAGTAAAGTTCTGAAAGGCATGAGTGTCCTTGGGGAAGCTTGCTATACGTCGTTAATTTCGCAGTACTTTTCACATATTCACTACTTGTACTTTAGGTAGTTCCTTTTTTCAGTAAATGGGAAAAGCTAGGAGATCAACAGTTTATGTATGACACAGATTTTAGATGGATAAATTTCCATGAATTATCCAACAGCTACTTTCGAGGAACGAACACTTGTATAAGGTACCGACAATGGGATTATACATATACTCGCTCTATTTTTTCAAAAATCAAGCATAGGTACTCAAATCAGCTAAATCGTCGTGCTAATTGCGAGGACTTGATTAATCTGTTACCGAAACTGCGGCCCATATGATTCATTTGTGGTCAAGACGATCAAATTCAAAATTGTTCGGACAATCTTTATAAAGATAGGTCATAAAAATGTGCAAGTGACTTGTTTATACTTGTAATCAATCAGAACAATTTTTAAAAATTTTCTGAAATCATTTTACCTCATGAACGTCAGCCACGCCCCCTTTTTCGGAATACCGGGGTTGTAAGCACGCAAAAATTCTAGGAAGAGTAACAAAAAACTTAGCGGAGTGCTCCCGCCCCCCCCCCCCTCTCCCCGAACGGAACTCCTGGGTGCGCCACTGCGATGCAGTGGATGGAGGAGGATACGATCTGGGCCAAGGTTGCTGTAGAGCGTAGACCTCACTGCGTTAACCAAAAGAATTGGCAAGTGGGGTAAAGCTGTCCGAAGCTCCTACTCACACTCCAGGATACATGGACTTCAAAATTTATAGAATAACGTACATTAAAATGCTCCAAGTAACGCGCAAACTTAGATTTCATAAAAGTGTTTAAGAGGAATGATAAGTACCTTCTTTACTACCAGTTAAATATCGTGAGCTACCAGAAATCAGTTCTTTGACCTATCCACATACATGTTAAGTGGGAAAATCTTATCGCCCTTTAAAGGCAGTGGCTCGGCAAATCTTCGATCCGAAGTTGTTTCACCTACCTGGGGTAATTCGAGGCGCTGAATTGAAAATACACTTTGGAGAGCACGAAAATGTCGAAAACCAGCATTTTCCAAGGGTTCTCATTTTGAATCCGGACGAGTGAACCACTTTCCGCCTGGTTAGAGACGTGGAGTCGTTGCGGGACCCTCATGTTTATAACATTACGGCATGCCGCCTCTGACCCGGAGAGCGGGATCGCAAGCTCATCCGATCGCGTGTAAGAATGTGCGCGCACAGGACTCAGGAGGGCTCAGGAGCAGTTTTCTAGACAGGGGCAGCATGTATTTAGTCTCGTACCTGCTCTGTTCTGATGTTTGGGATACAAGCAACCTATCAAAATTTCGAAATGTTTAGTTTTGTCGAGCCACTGTCTTTAAGCACCGTATTTTACTCTCTCCTCCTTCCCCCCCCCCCTCCCCCTTCCCCCCTCAAAGTTCTCTTCGGCGGAGTTTTTTTTGTGACGGGTGAACTTGGGATACGGTCAAAGGAGTTTTGCAAATTATAACAAGTTATTTTTTATGCGCTTCTAATGGTGCACGGAAATCCAAACGAAGCAAAAACAACTCACCACAGAACCATTGTTTGCAAATAGGGTACTCATCCAGCTCATCCATGTATGGCAATATTGACATCTAGAATAGCTTTCTCAATAGTTAAAAAATACTGCAATATCAAATAAATCTTACAAAATGGATAAATGAAGGTCGTTCTTAGAATAGAGCCGCTTCTGCGCTCTGACGCTACGTGACAAGTGTTTAAGTAATCCAGCGTTAATATCCAACGAGGCTTAAATGAGCTTACGGTAGTTTCTGAAAAAAACATACATCAAAAGGTAGTAATCTGTTTTTTGTAATAATGCGGCAAAGAGCGCACACTAAATCAAGAAGCGAATATCAAATAGGAGAAAAAGGCTTCTTAGTCACTAAAATAGTAGAGAGAAACCTCGCATTTATATTACATAAAGGCGCATATGCTTTTACTGGCAAGTTTAAAAAAACATCTTATTTCTAGCAATATCACACTGGCCCGTAGTAAACCCCCCCTTCAGGGAATCTGCCCTGAGACGGGCCTGAGTTGATCGTATGGCCCTCGGTTTAGCATCCTGCGAGCTATTGATCTAGATGCAGATCGCTTTTCAGGCATTAAAATCTTGCGCGCTATCAAAGAGGAAACACCTACACTTCTTGTGCAGGTTTGGTCAAACAAGTATGTGACTGGTACTCAGACCGCACGACCGTGGTTCGGCGCCGGACAACGGCAGATTTTTGCGCATCACTGAGCAATCTTTGATAGCGGCCACTATCGAAGAAAATCGATGATGGCCGCTATCAAGGAATCCACAAAGCAAATGAATGCACAAAACAAAACTGCGTTTTTTCAACCAAAATTTCATCAAAAACTGAAAAAGTAGGGACAAAATCGAATGGAAATAAATAAAGAGATTGTCGCTCTGAGTAGTTGTTGTAGAAAAAACCTAGGCAAACTCTGCAAAAAGGAAAAAAAACCTATTCTTCTGTTTTTTGCCGAAATCAGCTGTTCATTGATCTTTTCTTTTTTGGGCACCGGTATTGTGCAGTTTTGCGCGTTCTTGTACTGCAACAATACGTCAAGTACGATGTCCCGTAAGTTACTCACGAGCAACTTACGGGATTTTTCTCTGCGTCTCATCCCTTGCACACTATTGCGGTCAATTCATCTCAAAATCGAGGCCGTTCTTACAGATTTCAGGTGAATTCATCGCGGCACATGCGCTGACGCTAACCCTTCAGATCAGGTCGCATTCTTACGCATGTGAGAGTGACAGCTAGTCAGTTTATCTTAAATACCTCAACTCAGTCCCTCAGTTGAGATCATCCGAAGTGAAGTGGGGTTTGCTACGGGCCATTATTTCTGCGCGACCACACTAATTAATTTTTTTAGCAAGATGAAAAAAACTCAGCGGACTCTCTTTTAAACTATCAGGAATCATGATACTTACTTCGGAGAATGGCATTCTTGAAAAATTTATAGGGAACTGCAAATTCCTGAATTTGCAATCTGAACAGTGCTTTAAATACATAAGTCTCTGTATTGTATTGGGAGTAAACCTTTCTAGACAATGAGAACCACCACTTCACTCAGAAAAGTTTGATTGATGGAGTGCCACACAGCTGATTGAATATTGGATTTCAAAAGAATTTTTACATTTATCTTGGTTCAGCTAGTTTTTGTATTAACATGAGTGTAGCAGGGAAATTATCAACAAGTTTGTAAAAGTTTACCTATCTGCTGATAATAGAGCTTTGAAAGTTTTCGAAAAACACTGAGCCATATTAGGGCCTGGCACGAGATAGACAAATGTCAAGAAAATCGTCTGAGAATCGTTTCGGATGCAAAGCAAAAGGAATACCGTCTATCTGTATATGAGCTCTCTCGACAAGTTGCTCCACGACTGACAGCAAAGACACGATCTTGCTTGCGCCTCATTTCAAAAATCCTAATTTTTTTTATTGAGTCGTAATTGGATGTCTCGCTTACAGCGCACATATAACGATACGACTAAGAATTTAACGTATAAACAGACATGGACAGGGGTGGCTGTGATTGAAGGCATACTGGCAAGCTTCTTTCTGTGAATTTCCCATTAACACAAAATGATAAATAGCTCGTTTGCAACGCACGATGACGATATAGTACGAAATTTGGTGTGTGTCGCAGTTGGACTAAGGAGCAAAGTACGAGAGACTGTAAAAACTTATGCGAATAAAGAGCGTGCTTAACTTTTTTTAAAATTAGATGGGCAGTTGCCCACCTTATGCCCACGCGAGGTAGGCAAAACTTTTAGTTCACATAATTTCTTCAACATTTTCATATAAATCTGTTCTGCACTTGAAGATTAGTATATAATAACATTTAGGTTCCAGAACTCCTCCTCTTGTCCATGTTTGGAGCCGGAATAGCAACAATGCCGGTCCTATGGACGAAGAAAGCGCGCTTCAATCGAACAGCCTACGAGCTGGCGGGACCAAGTGGAAAATCGCAAAAATCGATAGTGGCAGAGGCGAAGTCGTCTTTGCCAACTTTTCGTGCTTTCAACTAGGCGTATCACCATGCCATGGTTAAAAGACAGTCAAACATGGACAAGTAAGCCATACTTTTCTTGCTTGGAACATTTGCCGTACTGGAAACCTACTGAAAGGCGCTGAAAATCCATGGAAGATCAAATAAACAGGAAAGGGTAGAAGTAGTCCAGGACAAGCTTTTTTGCGTGTGAAGCTCACATAAGGCAAGACTCGCATTTTGCGACGCAGATTAAGATTTTTTTGGTTGAAACTACTTTGTATTCTTATTTCCACTCATTTGTAGATTACGGTAAAACCTGCTAAATCATACGCAGCTGGTGTTTGGGTTGATGACGCCAATAGCCTAAAAAGCTTACAATCTCATTCTGACTGATAGGCTCAGTTTTTTCAATGGCTAGAGCTTGTATTTCACTCTTTGCATAGTGAATTCAGTAATTGGACTAGAAATTACGAAAGGTTTTGATGGTGAAAGGAGCAAAAGGAACAAAGGGATATCTGTAAAAACAACACATGTCTTTCCTTAGCTTTTGGAGAAGTTCAAAGACACTGGGCTATCAGCAACTTTATTCAAAAAGCGATTAATAAGAATCAGCTCGATAAAATAACGGGCGAAAAAAGAACCTCTCGCTGGCGAGTCCGCAAAACGAATACGATCCGAAACATAATGAAGTACACACATTCCATTACCCTTCTACATGACGAGTGGTTTCGACGCGAATATGCAAAAGAATGCCCTCCCTGCGCTTGAATCTTAGCCAGAAAAGTAAATGCAATGAAATTCTGATTTCAAGTGCGGTTTTCTGAAGCTCTATGAAATTTCAACAAATGAGGATAGATTCTTTTTTATTATCATTAGGAAGAGCATAAGACCTTCTTGCTAGTTTGCTAAGTATGAAAAAAAAACGATGTCTTGAAACAAGTCCTAGAAAAACGCTCATTATTTTTGCACCAATCTGTGTTCGAGCAAAACTGGAGCATGCAAGACAATGTAAACTTTGGAAGCATTTTATTAACTCGCATTAAAGATCGGCAACATAGATCAATAACTTTTCAGATGCTGTTAATTCGCACGACAGCGGAGATGTTAATAAATGTAAATTGTTCCATTGGTTAATCATGATATATCGAATGTACGCGTCCTTAGCATATACACCAATCAGAAGAAAAGAGAAGACTCTTGGTGAGATCAGTTTGTTACTATCGTTTCTATGGGATACATGACAATATCCATGTTGTTTGTGTCTATGGACATAGTGAGTAAGTTCTTACGAATCAGCTGAGTAGCACTGTCTTGATGGATTGCCCGTAAATAATCTCGAGATTGTAGTATCATAGAAGTTTTTAAAAGAAGAATAATTGTAGTATTCTAGACGGTTTCTTTCATGTTAGATAGCTTTTTCCCTACGTATTTGTTGCAAATTTGAAGACATAAGTTTATTCTATTAGTCTATTTTATGACTCAAGCGATATTAAAGATACAGTAATCTGTCTGGAAAAACTTCTCATGACACCTATCATTATAGAACTATAAAAAGTAATAAAAGAGCTCATTTGTAAGGTATTATGCAAGAAGTTCGCGACATTTGCGAATTTCTGAGTAACTTAAGTTGCAGGTGCTATATATCAGGGAAGCAGGGAGCAGAGAATGTGAATTTTTGATTATGATCATCCGTTGCATGAGGTAGAAAATTACCTGGCTTTTGGCGATGAATGGAAATCTTAGAAGGGATATCATCGTGAAGAGAACAATGCTGCATCTATGAGTAATAAAATGAAAGACTTTTTGTAGCTTGAAAATTTCTCAAAATAAATGTAATGAATGCACATCTTGATTTTGGTTATGTAAACCAAAAGCCATAGCGAGGATAACAAAACCAAAAGCCAAAGATTCGTGCTATATTGTTTCAAAAGAACATAGGTATCAAACTTTCGAATGAAACTGTTTTATTCAGCATTTTTCGTAAGATAATCATGCGCTTTAATTTAGTGTCCCAAGCAAATAAAAAAGTTGGCTCCCGACATGTTCGCTAAAATGCTAAAAGGTCTTTCTTTCAGAACATAATTCCAGGTTTGTTGTGTTTATACTATCCTTTTCAACTAAGAATCCGGATGATGTCGATTTCTAGTGATAGTCTGACTTTCATTCAATTATTCTGTGCTTTGACTTTGCTTTGAATAAAGATGTAGAGCATATATAAAGGTACGAAATTATCTGATATGAACTAACGTTTTTGCACAGTTTCGGACGATTTTTTATGCTTTTAGTGCAACAGTTTTAGGCCACTTCGGAAGTGTATCTGCAGCAGCTATGAGGTTATACAATTTAAGAAGATGGAAACAACAGCGCTATCGAGTACTAGCATAATATGGTTTTAACAGGTTATCTTGTAGATTTCAAGCAAAAAACTAAACATTATTAATTATAATGTGCCGCTGTCTGCTCAGGGACAAGGAAGCTAATCACAGTGTCATAAGGCTTAATTAGACTCCTACGTCCTCCCATCAGTTAGGTAGCATTCTTTTTGAATGTATATAAACAGTGGGATTTGTCATAGTGCTAGCGGAGAAGACATTAAGCTTGATTTGCTCATAAGATGTGATCGTATTACGTTGAGGGTGAGCGTCAATGAACTTAATGAGCTCTGGTTTGCGGCCAATAATTGTGGGCGATGACGTACGAAGACTACAGGTGTTTTATAAAGTCACAGGGTAGGTGACTACTATATGTCACCGATAGGCTCCACCCCGCGCGGACAGCCGGACAAATCCTCTACGTGTGTAATTGGTAAGCCGCGTACGTACACGAATGTCCGTGTGGGACCACCATTTTCGGCGACATATATTCCTCTACCCAGAGTTACATAAATTAAGTGGAGTCTTGGTAGTGAAGAAAAAAGGCAATTACAGATACATTACAGATAATGAAGCCATCATTATACAAAGAGTTGGCTCGATCTAAACCATGCTTCCATTACAATGCCCTTATTATCGTGCGAGCTTTGAATTTCTGGATAAAAGTCCTCAATTTCTCGAGCATCATTGCTCTATCAGCCAGTAGAAAAGGCCGAGTTCGCAAATTTATGGAGCTCATGCCAAAAAAATGTGAGGCACGCGACGGCTTTTTCCGTAAATTAAGTCGCGACAGAGTAACGAAAATAGTTTTCATGTTTTTTTTCTCATGAGACCTGGGGAGGTTCGTAAGAGCCAGATTGAATGAAGTGATTGCAGTGTATGCATACCTGCTATATTGGGAAACAGGAAGAACGCTTAGCATTCGCATCAAAGAGGCATTGGCAGACGGCGCAATAACTTGACTTTGGAGCGTGGCAGACAACAATCGCATGGTGGAGACGACTTTGACATCAAAATCACAATTCTACCATCTGAGAAAGAGATCTCAGCCAGGAAAACCTTGAAATTGTTGTGCAAAGAATTCGGGAATGAACAAAGCGGAAGAATGTTTAACCATGGCTTTCGACTTTTTCCCGTTTTCACTATGTTAAGTTATAATTGTTCATGATCCAACTCAGCATAGCTTGCCGCCCGTCGTGAACATCTACATCCGTGTGGACATCTAATGACCGGTGGTTCTCTGGTATGTCTTTTGCCTTCGCACTGTTTGTAAACTAGATTGCGATGAAGCCAAGAACTGGCAAAACCAGCGAAGACATTGGTCGACCTAAAGTCAAATGAAGCTTTGAACCATTCCGAGCCTTGATGTCTTTGATGAAGACGAAAGCCTCGAAACGTAAGGGCTTACAAATAAAGCACCAACTAAAACCTGTTCGGCACAGCAATTTCGACACTTGGTGAAAATGTATTTTCGGAATTTCGAAGTATATGAAACACTGGATTTCTGAATTAATCTCGCTCTCTTTCATAAACTGTTCTTAAAATTACGTCCACCTCTTGTCACGATAAGTACGTCGCAGCTAGGCCATCTGTCACAAGCTTCGCTAACAACTGGAAAATTACAATATGTAAAAGTTGCATTACATAATCACAATACAAAGTGAAAGCTTACTAGAGTTATCAAACTGACGAATTTTTATGAGGAGAAATTTCAATAGAAGAAAGCAGCAACCACAGAAAAGAACAACAATGTATGCTAGATGCACAGGCAGTAAGTTGCTACTTGATATGAGAACTTGTGCTCGTTTCCATGGACGACTTTTGCATGCTACATATTACGCCATTCTCGTATCAAATTAACGCAGTAAAAAGATAGATATAATTGCTATGCACATGAATTGACGAATGGCTCAAGAACAAACACCACGTAGAAAAATCAAACTTGTTCCATCGAGAGCTAGCTGCTTGACAATTGCTCGCGTTTCAAAGCAAATGTTCAATAGGCTTTGCTCTCTTCGAATGTCGATTTTGTAGAATAAGCACCGCCTAATGAACACCTCACGGCGTTAATGAGTTTTCTACGTGGGCCGTTAAGGGTAGGGTTTGAACATAAAACTCAAACTTTAACTCATATTCGTAGTTTTAAGTAGAAATGTATATGATTTATTAATGACCGCGTGAGTACAAGTTCAGTGCTGTGCGGGTGCTCCAATCATAGCTCATTACAAACTTTTTAGAGTCGTGTAAGTCGACAATAAGAGTAAAGAGAAATGAAAGTTCGACGACGGGGAATATTTGTAGGGTCAGTATGCCCTGTCGTGCGAAACCAGATTTGATGGTGGGTCTTCATTGAAACATCCAACTGTCTCGACTTCTCGAAGGGACACTTCACCACATGTCCGCTTTCGAAAATGAGGAAGCCTGATTATCACGTGAGCGCTTCCTCTTTCCTAATGTTCTCTGTATATATTAGGTCAAGTAATAAATTCTGTCGTATTTTCTGATTTTTCGCAGCAATGTTGACCTCACTTGGAATATGTAGTGTATATGACTTTCAAAGCTCTAAGTCTGCTTTATAGATGCATATGTGTCTTCCCAAATTAGTAGAAAATTGAAAGATTTTTGCCATTAAAACGAAAATTCGAGGAAGCGAGAAATCTACTTTAAACAACTACATTACGTCCCCTCCAAAAAGTCAGAATGCGTTTGGAACAAGTTAAGAAATTTGCTGCGTAAAGAAGGAGCGGTATAGCTCTTGCAGCTTTAGTAGTGCTAAAAAGTCTGGAGAATTACTTCGGCAAACTTTGTAAAAGTCTTTCTTCTAGCGTCTCTTCAACGTTGAGGGATAGTAGAGGATAATCCAGAAAAGACAGAAGGATTGTTTATGACTACAAAGTCATAGAAACTATGATTTACTCTTACTCAAAAAATCAAAGTTTGGGTCACACAGCTTAGGTACCCGAAACGAAGAATATCGCACGCCAAGTCTTGCTCAATGACTCTTGAAAAAATGACATTAAGAGTCGGTAAAGCGAAGGGAACAAGCAAAAACGGTCACAGTACGGATTTGAGAATCTAGTAGGCTGTTTTGTTTGTTGTGAAGCCGTTACTTAAATATTACCAACAGAAAATGGAAATTTAGAGAGAAACTGTCGAAAATGATTTTTTCGCCTTTTCGGATTTTTGTTTCGCCAGAAAATCTTTTTCAATATTCTGCTAATTTGGAGATGAAGCATATGCGTCTGTAGAGCAGACTTGGAGCTTTCAAAATCATATAAACTTTATTCCAAGTAGGATAAATGGTGTTAATATCTCAAAAGAACTCGGCAAAAGCAGAAAACTGCGTTTAAATAGCCTTCTTCAGGCTAAAAGCGAGGTTTTTGTGTAAATTTCCACAGAAATCATGACAAAGTTTCTCAACTGACCTCTTTCTAGACGGCTGAGATTAAGTTTGAATACTTACGAGTGCTTTTGTGGTTTAATGAAAACAAGAAACCGCGCTTAACTGTTGCGCAAAGTCGCGCACGAAAATGCTAATTTATCTTCTTAAGAAGTGATTTTTGAGTCTTGCGACGTTGTCAGTGCTTCTAGTAGTGTCATAGCGATCGAAATAACATATAATGTTCCAGGGTTTCCTTAAGAACCCGCGGAGATGTACGATCAAAGCCAATTGCCCCGTCTGCTCTGGTCTTTCTCCTCTGCTCCGTCTCCGTGCGCACTGCTTCGCTACCCCAAGCGCGAGCCAAGGGGATTTAGCTCTGGTGTGCTTTTTTTCGTTGTTCTGAATTCAATTTTAGCAATGTGTATCATATTAAACTCCTTGACCTCTACTTTCACGCTGAAAACGTCACAGAACCCCACTTTTCGAAGTGAAGGAAAAATCTAGCATGACCCGTGTTTTCGAAAGTCTCTTGCCCTCCATCCAGTTTAGTTCTTTCTAAGCGCTTTTCATGCATTAGATAATCTTGCTTCTGTTCATAATGTAGACAACGTCGCGGGATTGAGTCCTTTGATTGTGGTGAAATATCTGGCAAAAAGCTGCAAAAAGTGCGCTTTTGTTCAAGGGTCTTTATTGGAGCTAGTAAGCAATCATTTTTCACACACTTGGGCGCGTTTTCCTCAGGATCATGAGCATAACAAAGCCGACAACGTCGCCAGAAACAGAAACTACGAGAAGGGGGTCAAATAAGGGACACTTCAATAGCTAGATTGTCTTTGACGTGCAGACTTGAAAGTAACACTAAACGTTTTCATAACTGATTCTTTCTTTGTTAATTTTCTTCTTGACAATCCCCACTACCAAAATATAATACGTTTCTTCCAAAACAATTAGAGAAACTAGTTCTCCTCGTTTTCCCCTTGTTGTTGCCTGGTCCTAGGGCGAAAACTTGCCGTTCGAATTGCCTCCAAATGAAGATTTCAAACTCATTGCAGCATTTCATCTGACTTTCGAAGGTTTCCTCTGCTTTTGCCGTTTGTTTTGTATCTTTCTTCCTTCTCTGTTTTAGAAAACCTTCACTTTTGTGGGTGGCAAATCTTTAGATAACCTTCACCTTTAATTGACCCGTCATACTTCGCCAAAAAAGCCCGAAAAAGCCCAAAAGCGCCCAAAGAAGCCCGAAAAAGCCCAAAAAAGCCCGAAAGCGCCAGAAAGAGCCGGAATGTAGAAACGAACTTTTGGTAGAATTCTGACATTATCTTATCATGCGGACGACAGAAAATGACAAAAAGGCTCGATTGCGAAGTCAACACACATGCCTTAGCGCCAAAACGTGTGAGAAGTGTTCCGGCTCTTTCTGGCGCTTTTGGGCTTTTTTGGGCTTTTTTGGGCTTTTTCGGGCTTCTCTGGGCTTTTTTCGGCGAAGTATGACGGGTCCCTAAGGCCTTGTTTCTAGACTGTCGGAGGTTCGTGGCTTTAATCAAATCATCATAAAGTGGGAATACTTGCGCGCGCGCAATGAGGGCTGAAATAATGACTTTCTATAATTGCTCACAAACTCTTCGAAGTCAAAAGTACATGAATTTTATTTAGATACAATATAATCTATGAAACATAGCTATTAGGTTGTCCGGAAATTAATGCAGGTTTTGAATTTCAACCGCAATAAGTCATACACTTCTCATTTCTAAACAGGTCGCAGAGTACCATTCGATAGAGCAAAGCAAGCTCTACAAAATGGCTCTCTCGCTCTAGCAGAGGCCTTAATCCAACACGAGTTTCGAGCCAAAAACTAAAAAGAATTAACTGCCCGAAAAACAAAGAAAGATCGTAACTCACTTCATAAAAGTCCTACAAAAATTCTAACTTGTTCATGCAAACACTATCCACATAAGACAACTATATACGCCGTTGCCGTCTTTTTTTCTCTGTTAGAAATCAAGAAAACAGAAATTTTCGTGCATTTGCCAAAGTGATGCTGGGCCGTTCCCACATAAGTAGCTGCGTACTACAAACCCGTAGAAGTACAAACGCAAATTTCCAGCTCTTTACAAGCTTTAGTTCTCGAGAAATTTGAATTTTAGCTTGGACCACCTGACCAGGGAAAGCTATATTCGATATTTCTCGAGAACCAAAGCCTGAAAAAAAGCAGAAATCTTACGTTTGTACTTCTACAGGTTTGTAGAATACAACTACTTATGTGAGGACGGCACAGCGTCACTTTGGCAAATGTACGAAGTTTTCCGTTTTCTCGATTTCTAACAGAAAAAAAATACGGCAACGGTGTATATAGATGTCTTATGTGAATAGTGTTTGCGTGAACAAGTTGGAATTTTTGTAGGATTTTTTTCAATTAAGTTACGATTATTCTCGATTTTTTAAGCAGTTGGATCTTCTTAGTTTTTGTCTTGGAACTCGAGGTGAATGAAAGCGCTTGTAAAAGCAAGATAGCCTTCTTGTAGAGCTTGCTTTGCTCTATCGGATGGTATTTTGCATCTTATTTAGGAATGAGAAGCTATGACTTATTGCGGTTGAAAATCAAAACCTGCATTAATTTTCGGACAACCTAATACTTAACGATGCTACCGAAAATGTCTGCCTATCGTTATATGGGAGCATTACAATGTCAATTAGACGAATTCGAAGGAAACTATGTGAAATTACCCAAATTTTCGCCTATCTTTTTCATGTCCTGTACTGTTTTTGTCATAGAAGAAACTGTGAAGAGTTATAACGTTTTATATAGGACAGAATATTCGGAACAAGCTAGTGTATACGCTAGATATGCTAGCTGCTTTGTAGTACTGTCATTCTTATTGTGAGAGTTAATGCGTTGAAGCGCTCACCAGAAAGAAGAGAGTGAAGAAGTCTTATTAGAATTCTAATAACTTTTATCCACCAAAAAGGTCTCATTATTAACGTCTATCCGTCAACTATTCAATCATTCCTTTTTTATTCGATGCAAACAAACTGAAGAGCGAAAGTCGTTTCCATGAGAACGTGAATATAAGTAGAGTTTTTCTTCCGCCTCTGCTATAGGTTTCTAATTTCAGTGAAATGTTAGTGGGGACATAGTCTCTAAGCAAACTTATGAGTAAAAGACCGAAGGAAAAGGGAAATGGTTTTCATTTTTATCAAAGCAAACAATATTGCATCAATTTGTATGCGATTTCCCTCTTACTATGCATAGCTTATGAAGACGAGTGCACTGGTGATATTTAGTGAAATCTACGAGAGACAGAGAAAAGATCGTTAAGGGGGAAAAACTTATACGCTGTGACGTTCAGTAAACATCTGAATGGATCCATGACTCATACATTTCAAAACAAACGTTGTGACAATTACCAGTGCGCATAACTTGTAAGATATTTTATAATATGATTTGCAAATTTTGTGATATATTTGACGTTTATTGATTTCTCACAAAGATGCTTAGAAATATAGTAATGGAAAGTGGTCCAAACATCCCCGAATTTTATTCGGCTAAAATCGGCATTACTACAAACTGTAACTGGCTTAAAGAAGGATTTTATCTTGTATACAAGCGAAGATCTCTGTCAGTTCACATAAAGAAAGCTAAGTCTTTTATGGATCAAGAATTTGCTTTATTTGAATCACAAATGATCATTTCCCTTCGCTTTCTTCAACTCGAAGTCTCAGCTCAAAGAAGAGCATTGGACTGACCAACCATTACAAAATGTGAAAGATCAAATTAAAGTACTAGCTTTGACCGTTTATTTATGTAAGATACATGTATCACAGCCATGTAACCTTTTGAAACGTTAAGTTCGGATTTCGCACGCTAAGATTTCCCCGGTACGAAAAAATTCGATCTTGCTTTACTTTCTCAGGTTGTATCCCGGATAGGAGTCCATTGTTCATCTTTGTCGTTCGAATCTCTTTAGTACTAGTAGGAGACGTGCTGTCTCCTTACATGTTCATCTCCACAAGTAGCTCCGGAATAGGTAGGCGACTCCTGAAAACATGCAGTTTCCGCTTCCACCTCCATGAAGGAGTACGATCGGGTACTGTGCAGCAGAGAACACAAATCGATTTCTTACTAAGATTCACTTTGACTTATTTGCCGTGCTCTTCAAATCATTTTGATCTTAGTGCAAGCTTTCTGTATCCATTAGAATCACAACTTAATTTGTGAACACATACTGTAATGGCTAATCCAGAACGTCTGGATGTGGATAAGCTGGAGAGCATTAGAGAACGGGACGAGAAGGCTATTTATGTGTTTTAGTACTCATGATTAGTAGTAGTAATTTTGAAACGATAGTAGGGCTTTTTCTTTTAATTGTATATCGAGGTTAATCTAGTCGCGCAGTTTTGCTAAAGGTAGGTTGGTAAACCGCGCTGAGAGGACCCGCTAAAGAATCCTCGCTGTGGGACGGGTAAGCCTTGGACTCGCGGGTTTCGTAGGGCAGTCGAGCCCTAAAGAAAGGGCTGAGCCCAGCAAACGACAAAACTTGTTATCGTCTTCACGGACATTACTGTAATTGCAATATCAGTTTTGTGGATCAGCAGCGATACCTCGTGATTTACCTATGAGTCTGTGTTACTTTCTCTTTCTGATTATTAACTTTCATTTTATTATATTTCATTCCATCAAGCACGCGATCCAGTGTCACAACACTCAAACTTATAGCATGAAGTTGAACAATCTTTATTGCATCAACTGCACCAACAATAGTACATACACAATAGTACACTGTAGAAACTGAATAAAGCCTTGCTCACAATTGGGTTTTTGAGGCGTCTAATTCTAATTTGAATTCTAGCACAACATTCCCTACTTGCAAGCGGAAAATACATGCAGATGACTAAGGGAAATTTTACCACTGTAAGGAAAACATAATAATTCGAACGTATATGATTTCACAGGGATTATCATGAGCTTGTTTGGCACCATAGTTGTATCACAAAATGCAAAATAATCGGAAGAACTCGGAAAGGAAAAACAAGAAGTCGCAAAAAGCCAAAAACAAAGCAAAAGTGACAAATTGTACAAGTGAATGGAAGACACTATGCGAAGAAGAATTCTAGGGCTTTGAAGCGGTTGCTATTGTCCACACAACAATAGCAGTTGAAAATACGTATGTCTAAGCCAGTGAATGTCTAATTATACATAAAAACGTAGAACTCGTCCACAGGAGAAAACTCGTCTAATTAATCCCGCTGACAACATGGGCAAAAGAAACGAATGAATCGCTTTCGATAGGGGGCTATTAACATAAGCACAGCTAGGAGGACAAGCAATGGCCGGACCAAGAACGCTGACAAATGGGCCACATAGGCATCGGAGGCCAAATGTAGCGGAAGTTCACTTATTGACTCGTGAGGAATGTTGAATACGATTAAAACATCCTGGGCAAGGGATATCGCTGCCCATGCTGAAAAGAAAAAAGTTTGAGGATTTGTAGAAACTTTGGCTCCATTCGGCCACCTGGGCTCGAAAATTTAGACCACGATTTCGCAAAGAAGTTCTATGGGGGTTACTTACATGAAGAACCAGCCTTCTTCAGGACCATGATGCATATGTCATGACGATAGCGAATACTACGGTAACTACAGGTAGGCTAATATAATAGGTCAAAATCAGATTTGACTAGAATTTGTTTCAGAAGAATATGACGTGCTGGTCATGAAAGTGACACTAAGGTATGATAAGGAGGTTACCTGTAGGGTTACGGTAGATCTACGTCAGGTAGGAATCTCAGGTCAAATTATTACGAGATGTGATTATGAGTAGTAGATTGACTTTCATGATTGAACTTATAAATTGCCCTTATTTGTATAACAAAATGCAAATACTGCGATGTCTCATACCGTACACCTACCATAACCCTACGAAAAAGGTTCCCAGTATGAGCACTGGACATATTCGTAATCACTTCAATTATAGGTTAAGCACAAGCAAAGACAATATTTTTGGACTTCGGGGCCCGTATAGCCAGAGATTCCGATTTTTTGTTATGATCAAGTCTTCTGATAAAAAACAAAATTTTGAATATCAGTGTAATATGAATAAATTGGCTTACTTATGTAAGGTACAGACAAGACGTGGATGGTGATTTGGAAGCAGATAAACCAGAATAACCGCCATTTGCCATCTCGGACCTGAATAAATCTATCGTTGCGGTGAAAAAAGCTGTAACTGGTCGAACAAAATTTATAATAGATTGCTAAATAAATGAACTCGAAAAAAGAGAAAAATAGGGAGCAATACCTGATCGTATGGCGATGATTTTGTGTATTCGTCTCGCCTTCTACAGAATACAACAAATGACTGCAAAAAAGATATTGGTAAGATCAAAAAAATCAAAAAAAATAGCTTACTGCTAAAGTCTGAGTAACTAGAGTGACGACAACAAGGCATGCCGCTAGTCGAATGATAACTGTTGCTCCTAGTAGAACGTATGTTGGGACCTAAAATATTCTAAAATATTATTTTGGCATAATTTGTTTGTTGGGAGAAACGTCTCGAGAAGTACAGTACGAACTATGAAAAACGGTAAAATAATCACAAAAGGGAGGGAAAGGGTAAAGAATGTGCAGAGTGAAGTACACATAGCTTTGCTTAATGTCGTTTCGTACCATTTCGGTGAAGAAATCTCAGAAAAATAACGCCTTAGCTCTATCATTAGAAAAACAGCAAACATTAGATAGAAGTTTGAAAAGTTTCTGAAATTTCTGTCGGGAGTTGTTCATTGATTATTACTAGAGATATTCGATAAGCCTTCAAATGAAGTCTACTCTCATATTGAAACATCTTGGGTCAATCAGCCTTCCCCCCCCCCCCTTGTAAAGAAATGATGGCAGAATAATTGTAAACTAAACAAATTAAACATACCGTGAACACAGCAAGAAGTGTGTCAATCAATGTGAAGAGTATGGGGAATAACTGCACTCTCAAAAACGACCACCTAAACCGAAGACTATTGAAACAGCTAACTTCAGAGGGAAATCAGTCTATTATTTCGACAACATTATTACCTCTGCTAAAAAAATCGGCTTTAGTCTTACTACAGCCTTAGTAACTTTTACATTACGCGTTTAATTGATTGAACACTTGAAAAACTTACACATATGGAATGTAATTAATCTCCTCAGGACGTACAATAGCTTTATGTGCATAGTAGAATGCTACTACTGATGTGAAGAGAGTTGACCAGAATAGAATATCCGAAAGAATATAGCAAACAAGAGCGAACAGAGTAGTCTGGCTAAAAAATCAATATATTGATCGACAATGGACTCAAAAACATGTGAGAGGCAGTACAGGATTCGAGAAAGAAGAACAGGAAAAGTTTTTGTTGAGACTATTTGCACTTAATTACCAGTAAAGGTGTTTCATAATAAAAGATAAATCGATTTATTGATTACCTGTAGATGTTATAGGTAGTGTATCGTGCTAAGACTTCTTGGTAGATTTTTAGCGCCTCACTAAATCATATTTGATTAGCAAATAAGAATAGAAATTAGGTCCAAACTATGACTCACTGCTGCAATGAACTGGTAGCCACATCGTAATAATCACCCCGGTAATAGTCCATGAGGAGTTCTCTGAAGAATTTTTCGATATCAGTAACTAGATTTTGCACGTGCTTATTCCAATCATCTGTAGATGGTCTGCGGAGCTCAAGAGCAATTCGATGTGTACTTGCCCACCCTAGTTTTCTACGGTTTTATCTCGTCCATACCGTACTCTCCACGGTAGTCGAAGACATTGATCGTTCTGCTCGGCACACTATGGTAAGGGGCAAGAGTTTAGAGCAGAATTTGTTAGTCATAAACGTTGTTGAGCTATCGTTTAAGCAATAGCACAGTCAACATTTCTTGACCATTTTTAACCAAACTTTCCAGTATTAATTTCATGAATGTTGTTCCAAACTATTTCATCATCATACAATCGTTAAACTCATTCTCAAATCGAAAAACTTATTACAATATAGATGAACTCACCTTGATCCATAGTAAGTAATACTAGTCTTGATCTCTGAATACACATCAAATCCGCATTCCAATACTATCGGTAGTATTAAAAATAGTGTAAATACTTTCAGAAAATCCCTTTTGATGGTAGCAGACAGCACGAGTACCAGGAGAGATAGTGCACATTTTGCAGAGAGTGCAGCAATACGGTAATAGTTGGGTGAGTACGGTAAAAGTGTGGCTGGAAAAGTAGCAGATTACATATAGTTAAAAAATCGAAACGCTACAAAATGAATGTTGAAAAAATTTGACTGAGGAAAAATGCAGCAAAAGTGTAATACTGAAAAAATCAGTTTTTAAAAGTCGTTAACATATCATCAAAATTAAGATGAACTGCTGGCTAAATTGCGAAAAATTACATTTGAAAAGAAGTTTTTTCAGTAATAAATGAATGCCTTACTTACATCAATCAATTATTGATTACCCTGCTTTAATTATGATTTTTTGAACTTACCGAAAGTAGTTACGAGATCATCAGCCATAGTCACATTGACGACCACTTCCTTTTGAGTAAATACAGCGTCGACGAGTTTGGTCGTTTCGTTAAAGTCTTCTGGCATTTCGCCAGAAAACGATAGTAAATCGTCATCCATTTTCTGGAAAAAATCGATAATCGATCGTGGCGACGGCAAGAAAATCGCTAATTATTCGTAGCAGTGATTGCACGGACAGAAACGAAGTAATTTTAAATGAATTATAGACTTCTGCGAAAAAACGATGATAAACTTATTACAGTTCCTAATTTCAAAATGTATCTGAGAAAATGTCATTGATGACCTCAATCGATAAAATCAATATTTGAGAAAGTGACCTCTGTTGATGGCATACGGCGCGCAATTCACACCACATGTTTCTCATCCTTGCCGAGCAGAAAAGAAAAAAAAACGCCGATAAATCATTTAGACGAAGCGCGACAAAATGACTTTACATTCAACTTTACGAAGAAAGACGTTTAGTTGACAATTTCTAAAAGCGGATCGGAATGTTGACCATTTCGCTGATGCTGGAAGAGAAATTTGGCTCAAGAAACAACCATCCGAGCGTTTCGATTTTCTGGCAAAACAGGTTTCCTTTAATGCGTATCACCAGCTTTTCGGACTGATTTCAGTGCATTTCGTCAGAACTGCTGAAAAACTATGGGAAATGCACTTTTGGGGAAGATTGAGTCTGGAAGAAGTCCTTGTGTGGTTCGTAAGTTTTGCCTTTTATTAAGAATTTCAGAAAATTTTCGAGCTTTGAGGGACAAACATGTTTCAAACCTACGCTAGAAAAGCTACAAAATAATAGTATTGTGAAATAAACGAAAACTTGGGAACAAAGTTGAAAGTAAGTAAAAGTCGAAGACTACGCTCAAATTCCCGCTTTTCTCCTCTGTCCAAATGAAGTTGGCGCACCAAAAAAACTAAGTAAATTTACCAATCGGGTAAGAGTTTTCTCCGTCACCACTTGCGTTAGAGCCGGATAGAACAAAATCGAGCTAAATTCGAAAGTCAAACGAAACGTGAAAAAGACTGCTCCTTTTCTTGTAATCAGTAAAGTTAGCAAACAGGATGTCGGTCGCGATAAAATTGTCTAATTCCAGCTTGGGCGCGACCACGAAAACTATCATTTTCGTTGATCTGATTGATTTATAGTGATTTGTCGAGAAAAAGATAGAAGGCATAAAGATTAGGGTGCAAAATTCGATTTAGAAAGTGAAAGTGAAGGGTTGACGCTAGATGTTTCCCAATAAAGAGTATGAATTAATTATGGTTATTTTAGTCTGAAAAAAAAACTAGAAAGCGAAATGGATCCTCATTGTTAGACAAAAGTACTCTTGTTGTTAGGGCAGAATTACAAGAAGTCATTAGTCAGAAATTCTCTCGATGAACTTTTCATAAAATCTGTTTTTGCTGAAATTTTGCAATGATTTTCATCCGCAGAAAGAGAATAAGATTGCAAGAACATCATTGGCGTTCGACTCAGGCATAAAGCAGAATTTGATTACGTTTCAATCAAAGCACAGTACTTAAAAAATCAAAGAGTAGATACATGGTGGCTTACATTTCCACTCTTCCACAAAAGTATCTCATCACAAGATGAGCGAAAAAATTCTCACATGAAATATTCCCGTAATTGAAATGTGGAAAAAGGAAGGATGAGGAATTCGTCTATTAGATTGATGCAAGGAAAAGCTCATAGTTTATCGCTCGAAAATTTAAGGAACCAAAAATGTTTTTAAAACGTGAAAAAATTCTATTGCTACAAAATCATGATCAAACTAAATAAGGCATGTAATCAGATTACTTATCAAAGCTCTTTATCTGCCAGCGAAAAGCCAAAAGTAATCAGAGTACGTCTGCAAGTACTGTACGCTGAGTGGTACGCTGCAAAGAGTACGGTCTGGGCGAGAATTAAAAGTTGAATTACTCGGCGAAGAGTGAATAATCTGAGCTGCTGCTCTCGCAGTAGCTTAGTCAAGCATTCCATTATTCTCCAAAAGGAGAGTTTAAGGTAGCCAGAATTATCTGAAGATACTCTTCAAGAAGAGTGAATTTTCAAAATGAGGGAGAGGAACGGCGATTTACGGGCAAACACAATTTCCAAGCGATTGCATGCAGACATCAAAATTGCGACAGCGATGCAGAAACAGACTTCAAAATTGCAGGTTTTGACCCCTTCTACCAAGAAAAATCTCTTCATGCAATCTATGTAGGGCTAATAATTTTAGGAGAAAACTATGAATGTCCACAGACCATGCGCAAGTGAGAGTAGACGCTCAGAATACGACTGGTCGTAAATCGTTACGTTGCTAAACCAAACGATTTAGAAATAGGCTTGGCAAAGAATATTTCGGATAAGAACTTAACTACACAAGCAACCAGTCCCACTGGTTTTGCGGGCCTGCATAAATCACTTGCAAGCTTTCGATGGGCGAAAAAAGAGAGATGAAAGCTACCACAAACTTCGTTTGCATCGCCGAGGGTGATAGATCACTCGAGCAGGAGAGCAAGATTATAAATGAACAGAAAGAATTGCAAAAGGGCATAGTATCAAAAGAAATGCGCTGGCACAGAGCCAAGACATTTCCAAGTCTTTGGAGTTGCCCAAGAAATATCTGTAGCGCAGAATCCTTAGCTAATGCTATAACGTATAAAAAAATAATTGCTATGAAAGTCGGCCAGCTGCGCACGCTCGACTGAGACCGCTCATCGCACCTAATTAAGCAAGTTCGTCAAAAAACTCGCTAATGAAAGAGAAATTTTCGACGACGAGTGTCTCAAAGCGCACGAGGTCAAGCTAAAAGGTTTGCGCCAAAGAAAGTGTCACACTTAATATGAAGAACGACCCGGAAGCGTAGAAATTTAAAGTCGTCTCTACCTTAGCATTCGTTTTGTGTAATTGCACCACTTTTGCAATGTGCGGTGGAGCAAGCTAGTAGAGACACTACTGGGATTGTGAAAGTGCGAAACGATAAATATGTAAGTAGCACGGAAAGCCAAAAGTAGAGAAAAAAGCTGTTGTAGTTAGATTTGCAGCAGAAAAGCAAATAACAGTGCCATTACACAAAGCGATTGCTAAACTTGACTACACCATTAGTGAAATCTACATAAGTATAGAGAGAATTACACTTAGGCAGAAAACGTTACTCTTATGAAGTTTTTTTTTGACTTTCAATCACTCAAGTTCTCAGTTATTTGCCAAACTCAACTCGTATTCTCCAAATGTATGAAAGGGCTGTTCTGACTCACCAACCCAAAGAAATTTGTAGTTTTTTGGGAGCTACAAGTGGGAAGAGAGAATGGTGAATGAAAAGAGGAAAACGAAAGAATTCCATAAAAAAGTTGACTACTATCTGGTTTGCACCAAATGTCTAAAAAGTCGCTATTTTTATAGCTTCAAGAAGTTCATGGGTTACGGTATAGTTTAAAAGGTAAAACCATGCACTGTCTAAAGCACGCGAAAAGTCAGATCATCATGTTACAGAGATATAGCTCACGAATAAACAGTCAAATAATTTTTTTTCAAATTTTGGATTTCAAAGATGGAAGGCCCAATGAAATTTGAATTCACTTTCAAATGTAGATCTACGATTAACTTTTAGTGAAAGTAAAGTTATGGTTGGAGGTAGTTAAGCTTATGGGATTTGGATTTTTTGCCAACATTTTTGCCAACAAAAATTTGCTTTCTCCAGCATGCAAGGTAAAATAGAGAATGCTATAGGTATAAGAAAATAAAACGTAAATTAGGATGTTTGTTAAATACTTTGAAACAAATTTTTCGAGATATTTTTGGTGCAACACTCAAGAACTTATATGGGAACATTCTGGACCACAGCATTCTAAAAATCATCACCTAAAGGAAAGGGTGCAAATTAGAAGGAAGCAAGCACATTATTCGTTCTAACATAGCATCAATTGCACAATATGTCATAAAAGTGCCCGAAATGAGGTTGATAGGCGTTAGCGCAACGATTCACGGGGTAACATATCATACGTAATGGATGACGGATATCGGAATGACAATAAATTTGAGTTATGCAGGTAGTGTTAAGGAATCTGTGCGATGCAAAGAATTGTTTTCGAGAAAAGAATGGAGGTATGAGCAATAGCCATGTGGTATTTTTTGCTGCATGGTGGAAATTCGTAACTTGTTTACATGACTGCTTCCTGCAATTATTCCATTCATTCACCCTTCTTTATTTACCAGCTCATATGTTCCTTTTCATTTTGGCACTCGTTCAACCCCGGACGTATTCTTGCCCTCCCTAACCATGGGATTCGAAGGGGAAGGTCGCACTAAACTAGAAGAGCTATTGGTTTTGAGAAAAAATTCTGTTGTTCCTTCTCCTGCGCGGACCCTTCAAAATTATTCAACAGAAAAAGTGCATTAGCTGATAATGAATAATTTTGACATGCTGTATATCACCTTACGATGACTCAATTCATTTCATTTATTCGAAAACTGATTCATGCCCATTTCCTTTCTTTCATCTGGCCAGCCGCCATATCTTTCATGATAATGCACAAGGTTAGGTAAATGGAAGATTAGTGGAGAATGGAAGAAAAAAGAAGGAAAAAAAGAAAGAAAGGAGGAAAGAATGAGTGAAAGAAAGAATGAATGAAAGTAGTAAAATAAGCGAACGAATGAGCGAGAAATATTGAATGAGGGACATTCTTTCCAATTGCGGATTGTCAATACAAGATTTGCCAACATTTTCATGATTTTTCCTTTTTCCTTTTCACTTATCCATCCTTCCCCTTCACTTATTCATCCTTCTTTTTTTCGAAAAATAAACTTTGTTACCATTCTTCCACCATTACCTTTGTGAACTGGTTTCGACAACTCAGCATTATTCAATCATACTTTACTTTCTTCACTTAATTGTATTTATCTTCATTTCAGGGACATTCCAGAAGTTTTTTTTATGTAGGGGGGGGGGGGAGGGGCAAAAAACTCTAACAGTTCAATCTCAACGACTTTTTTTTATTGAATAAGAACTTGATGTTACCTGCACGATCGTATAACTCTCTGAGGAACTGGAGGCAGGGGAAAGGTGAAGGAACCATCTATTTACATACAACCCATTTGGTATATTTTTTACTTATTGATT